TGGGCCGTTCGGTTACAAAGCAAATAAAACGTCCACAATGTTTCCAAGCACGTGAGTCTCAGTGGCTTCCCGGGTCGGCGGGGAGGGAGGTCGGTGAGCCTAAGAGGGTGAGTGTGATGGGCAGCACACGCCCTCCAGTCCCACTTGGGGGGAAGAGTGGGCCCGTGTCACAACCCCAGGCCTGGTGGGGGGACCCCAGGGCTCGGCGCGGAGTCTCCAGGGATCGCAGTGTCAGGGGGCTTGGGAACCCCCGCGGCTCCGCGGGGTCCTGCGGGCCACACACATGGACACGGGACAGGCCAGGGTCTCGGGGAAGGAGGAGAGCAGACCCTGGAGACCTGGGTGTGGGGTTCGGGAAGTCCTGAGATCGGGGTTCGGAAAGCACGTGTCGGGCGGCTCCAGCTCTGGCCTCCGCAACCGGACGGTCCTCCCCGGCCTCGGGCGAGAAGGGCTCCCGGGTGGGTTATTTGCAAGCCCCAGCCTCTCCCTAACCCGCTCCACTGCCACCTCCGGCTTCTCTTCCGGGCCCCCAACGTGACCTTGACAAGGTCACGGTGGCCTGTCAGCCCCCAGGTACACGGCGCGCGTAGGCGGGGCCGGGCTCCCGACCTGTCCCCGAGCGCGGCGGGCGGAAGGGGGCGCAGCCAATGGATGTGGTGCACGAGAACGCGGGGCGGGCTCGCTGCGGCTCCGGACAATTGCGGCCTGGGGGGGGCGGGGCATCGGCGCGCGACACAGCCAATAGGGTTGGCGCGCGGGGGCGCTGGGCGGGGCGTCGGCGCCTTAGCGGCTGCGCCCTGGCGTCTCCGTCCTTTCGGTCCCCGCGGCGGCAGCAGCGCTGAGCCAGCGGCGTCTACCCTGCGGCTTTACGCGCTTCCACTCCGTTCTGCGCCCTCTGCGCCGCCCGCTGCCCCACCATGACGGAACAGGCCATCTCTTTTGCTAAGGACTTCCTGGCCGGAGGCATCGCCGCCGCCATCTCCAAGACGGCTGTGGCCCCGATCGAGCGTGTCAAGCTGCTGCTGCAGGTGGGGCGGCGTGCGCATGCGCGAACTCGGGGAGCCGGGGATCGGGGCCGCGGGGGGGGACTGGTGGTGGGCAGCAGACCGACCGGGTCGCGTCCACCGGGGCCGGCGGGCGGGAGGGTGCCGGAAGTGCGAGGCAGCACTGCTTTGTCCACGCTGCAGACTTCCGGGGGCGCCTCACGTGAGTGGTGCGCCTGCGCAGAGGAGGGGCTGTGGCTCGCTTGCGTTTTCTGGGCCGGGCGGGGTGGTCATGCGCGGGGCGGCTGCTCGCGAGGTACCCTGTGGGTGGCCGGGCGGCGCGGCCCAGCCAGTGCCCCTTGTCGGACTTGAATTCTTCCCACACTCTTATAGTCGTCCGTGCAGCTTTAAATGACAGTCAAGTGCGGTGTGTTGTGAAACTGTTGCAAGTGTAACGCGTTAGCTGCCACCTTGTTGTTCGGAGGTCGCTGGCAACGTTGTTGCGGCCACAGCCCAGCTGTGCACTGTTCGGAGAGCCGGGCGGCCCGTGTGCGGCTTGGTTCACTAAGAACACCCGTCCTCTGGCTTATCAGGCCCTCCCGTGAGCCCTGTGCGTCCACCCTGCAGGTTCAACATGCCAGCAAGCAGATCGCGGCCGACAAGCAGTACAAGGGCATCGTGGACTGCATCGTGCGCATCCCCAAGGAGCAGGGCATGCTGTCCTTCTGGCGGGGCAACCTGGCCAACGTCATCCGCTACTTCCCCACCCAAGCCCTCAACTTCGCCTTCAAGGATAAGTACAAGCAGATCTTCCTGGGAGGCGTGGACAAGCACACGCAGTTCTGGAGGTATTTCGCCGGCAACCTGGCCTCGGGCGGTGCCGCGGGAGCCACGTCTCTCTGCTTCGTGTACCCCCTGGATTTCGCCAGAACCCGTCTGGCGGCCGACGTGGGGAAGACGGGCACGGAGCGGGAGTTCAAAGGCCTTGGCGACTGCCTGGTGAAGATCAGCAAATCGGATGGCATCCGGGGGCTGTATCAGGGCTTTAACGTCTCGGTCCAGGGCATCATCATCTACCGGGCCGCCTACTTCGGCATCTACGACACAGCCAAAGGTGGGTGTGTGCTGGGCTGGGCTGGGGGGCTGGGACAAGGGCACTTGGCAGCAGGTTGGGTCTGAGTCCCGGAGGCTGGAGTCTGAGGCCCAGGGGTGGGCGGGGCTGGGTCCCCCCCCTCGCAAGTCCTCACACGGTTGTCCCTCTGTGTGTGTCTGTCCCCATCTCCTCTTACAAGGACCCCAGTCAGACTAGATCGGGGCCACCCTAGGGACCTCAGTTCGCCTTCACCCTCCCCTTTAACAACGCGTTTGCAAATGCAGTCGCGTTCTGGGGTCTGGAAGTCCGCGGCGAATTTCGGGAGGACACGGTTTAGTCAATCCCTGAAAGTAAGCCGCCTGGAGGGTCAGGGCGCGGGCCTGCTGGCAGTCGTGTGAGGGAACAGCCTCAGGCGCGTGAGTCTTTCCTCCCTGGCCCGGAGCGGTGCGCCGGGACTGTCGCCTGTGCCTTGCAGGTGGCGCCCACCCCCACCCCAGCTCCCGTAGTGGAGCTTGTCCTGACCGCTGCAGCATCACCTGGTCCTGGGAGCCGCACTGGGGTTGGAGGGGAGTGGGGGAGGGGGATGACCGCAGCTGCGGTCTCCGGGCGGCCGTGGGGGAGAGCTGGGGCCTGACCGTGGCGTGGGACCCCGCAGGCATGCTCCCTGACCCCAAGAACACCCACATCGTGGTGAGCTGGATGATCGCGCAGAGTGTGACAGCCGTGGCGGGCGTGGTCTCCTACCCCTTCGACACCGTGCGGAGGCGGATGATGATGCAGTCCGGCCGCAAAGGAGGTACCGTGTCTCGGTTCTAGGGGTGGGGAGGGCGCCCACAGGGTCTAGGGGCTGCCTTCATGGGGGGGGGGGTAGAAAGCCTGGCGCCCTAAGATACACGGCCCTTCCCAAAAGGGTTTGAGTGGTGCCCTGCCACGGCTTTGGCGGGGAGGCCGGATCACGGATGTGCCCCTCCTCCAGGCGGCGCTCCAGCCGCGGGGTCCGTGAGCTCTCCCTGCCCTGTCCCCGGTCTCCTGTGGGTGGAGGAGGCTTCACACCCGCCCCCAGAATGGGGCTGGTGTTTCTTCCTCGGCCCCGAACAATAATTTTAGCCCGAGGCCTACCCCCCCGCCGCCCCGCCCCACTGGCCCAGAGGATGGGTGGTGCCCGGGGGTCGGAGCCTGACACTCTCTTCGCTGTGTGTCCCTTCCCCGCCGACCCCGCCGCCTGCAGCCGACATCATGTACAAGGGCACGGTGGACTGCTGGCGGAAGATCCTAAAGGACGAGGGCGGCAAGGCCTTCTTCAAGGGCGCCTGGTCCAACGTGCTGAGGGGCATGGGCGGCGCCTTCGTGCTGGTCCTGTACGACGAGTTGAAGAAGGTCATCTAGCGCGGGCCCGCGCGGGCACGCAGGCACCCGGGGACCAGGAGCCACACGCAACCCCTCCCTGTTCGCGGACCACTGACCTTCAGAACATCCACCGCCTCCGCCCAGCCGGGGCCCCGCGCAGCGCCCGGGCAGGGGCTCGGGGACGGCTCCCTGGGACCACGAGCACTGGCACCCTGATTCCATGCATCGGCGGGGAGGGGGAGGGGGCCCCGGCGTCCTGGGCGCGGGGGCGGCGGCGGTGGCGCCGCAGCCGCACCACGCAGGCGGAGAGCCGGGGCGCGCGTGCTGCGCCCGGGGACCGGGCTGGGCTTACTTTTATTTAAAGGAAATCATGTCGCCCATTTGTACCTAAGCACTCTCGTTTTTTTGTTTTTTTGTTTTTGTTTTTTTTTTTTTTTGCACAGCCGAGCATCCGCGATGACGTTCTATGTTGGGCATTGCTGCAAACAATTAAAACCAGACAGAACTAGCTTGGGTGCTTTCCTTTCGGGCCAGGGGCGCGTGCCCCTTCTCCCACTGCTTCTCAGGTGGTGAGGAAGAGGAGGAGCAACTGCGGGTGGGAGACACCTGTGGCCTCCAGGTGCCCCTGCTCGTGAAATCCCTCCAGAAACAGGGTCTGCTTGCCTCGGGTTCCCTCCCCTGCAGTGGTTTTGCACCTGGGGACGCTGCGTGCCGCGCCCACACATGCCCTGGATTGGCCCGAGTGAGTGCAGGCGTGCCGGCGCCAGACGGTCACGACCTTCTCCGGCGAGGCGGCTTGCTGGGGCCGGAGACCTTGGCAGGCGCTGGCCCCCTAAGGTCAGGTAGCTCCCGCAAGGCGAAAGGGACCAGACCGTTCGGGCCTGCCACCCCAGCAGAGGAACCGGCTTCCCACCCTCTCGGGCCTCGCCTGTCCGTCCGTCCGTCCTGCCTGCCGCTGTGGCAGCGGCTGGCTTCTGGATGGGCGCTCTCTCCGGCCGGCCGCCCTCCTCGGTTCCCACCGGGTGGAGACCAGACCAGCGGGCGACTCGGGGCCTGTGTGAGGACGCGGAGACGAGATCGGATCCGCCCTTGGTGTCCCAGGGCGCCCTGTGCATGCCGTGTTCCGCGACTCTGCGGGGGTCCCTTCCTGGAAGCCAGCACCGTGGGCATCTGCCCCCCACGCCCTGGAAAGGTGAGGCGTGGGGGTCCACAAGGGTGAAGAGCGACAGCCCCTTCCCGAGCACCTGTACGGGGAGCCCCGCCTCAGGCCCAGGTTCCTGTGGCTAGGTGTCTGCATGCCCACGCGCTCCCTCCTTTTTTTTTGGCGGTTTGCAGGTGGGCGTCCGGCGTCTCCAGGGTGGGCTCTGTCCGCAGTGGGGGGGGGTCCCCCGCCGTCCAGATGCCGCCCCACCCCGGGACCCCACACCAGGGGTGCGAGCTCCTTTATTGCGGGAGACACCCAATGCACAGGGCGCCCCCCTGTGGAAGGAGCGAGGAGTGCCCAGGACCTGTGGAGGCGAGAAGCGTCCCGGCGGCCTTGGGGTGCGGGGCTGGGCCAGTGAGTTGAAAAAAAACACTTGGGGTTGAAAAAGCACTTTATTGAGGGTTTTGTTCCTCCCCGTCCAGTCCGTGACACGCGTCTGCTGTCCAGAGGCCGCCAGGCCGCGTGGGGACCCGGTCCAGCCTCACGTGCTCTTCACCAGCTGCACCTCCGCCACCGGGCAGTCCTCCGGGGTGGGCGCGCCGGCCTGCCAGGCCATCTGCGGGGAGCGGCAGGAGCGCCTGGGTCGGGAGAGCCCCGGCCAGGCAGCCCGTGCGCCCTGGGCAGCGGCAGGGGCCCGACCCACCCAGCACCTGCCCTGACCTCGGTGCCCGGCGGCCCGCCCTAACCCTCCTAGGGGAATCCTCGCCCCTCCTGGGCTGCCGCCCACCAGGCCTGCAGACCAGAGCCTCGGACTCCCTGGGGACCCACCGGCCGAGCCGGGACGTACCATCTTCTCGTGCACATGGTTGTCCACGATGGGGTCCTTCATGTGAGGGATGGGAGGGAAGAGCTTCTGCAGCACGGAGCACCTGCGAGGGAGAAAGCCCCCTGAGCCGCAGCCGGCACGTGGGGCCCCTCTGGGGCCTGCCAGGGTTCTCCAGGAGGAGCTGGGGTCCGCCTTCCCTACCCCAGCCCCGGTGGGGCCACGGAGTCGCAGCTGGGACCTGGATCTTCCCCAAGGCCGGTTCCCAGGGTGCCTCTCCCCATGGCAACCTCCCCTCCCTCCGGAGCAGCCAGCTTCTGCGGAAGCTGGGGCGTTGGCCCGCCCACTCCGCAAACCCAGCCTCTCTCTCAGGCTGGGGGTGGGGGGCAATGCAGGACTCCCCCATTCGGCAGAGCACCCTGCTCACGAAGGGACGGCGCCGGGGAGCCGCGGGCACGTGGGAGCGCCCGCAGAAACGCCACCACTGGCCTCCAGCCTTCGCGGGTGGGGGAAGGGATCCGGGAACACGCCCCCAGGGCGCCGTGGGTTGGGGAGTCTGCAGGGTTTAAAGGAGCAATGTCGGGGGCGTCTGGGGACACACAGGTGCTCCTGGCTGCAGTCTGCGCCGCCCAGGACACGGGTAAAGGGTCCGGGGAGGGGAGAAACGTCAAGGACACGGCACTGGGTACCAGCTCCCCGTGGCCGGCTGGGAGCAGACGGCCGAAACCAGGGCCGCGTTTCAGAAAGACTCGTAAGGACGCCGGCAGGCTGTGGTCTCCCGGGACAGGCGGGCGCGCGCTGGGTGCGGGCGGAGTGGACGCATCGCGGGGGAACCTCCGAGCGGAGCGTTGCGTTCCAGAAAAACGCGCGCGCGCGCACGCACGCAACTCACTTTTTGCACAGAAGGATCGCGGCCCCCACCGCCAGCAGCGTGGCCAGCGCGCTCAGCCAGACGTAGTAGAGGCGTGCTTTGTCCTCGGGGTCGCACACTGGGGGGACAGACAGACAGAGGGGTGCTTCGGGGCCGCGCCGCGCCGGCGGTGTCACGCGGCTGCGGGCGGATCCCGAAGGGTGGCCGGCACTCGGGGCGCGCCCCGTTGGGGCAACGGGCCCCTGCGCGCCGGGGTCCACGCGAATCCCTCCAACCCTGCGCGACCCTGCCCTGGAGACTGATGCCCCCACCGCGGAGGGACACTTGGGACTAGGGCCATCGCGCTCTGTCTTGGCCGCTTTGCAGGGAACCCCTACGGCGCCAGGTTTTTTTTTTTCCCCCCCAAAGGCGTAACACGTCATTCTGATACCTCGGCCGGCCTGTGGGAGGAGCCAGCCAGGCCCGGCGGGGCGGGGTCCCGCCGTAGGGGAACTGCCTCCTCTGTCCCTCCCCCCTGCGCGTGCTCTCTCTCTCCCTCAGTCCTTGAATCTGATGCTGTGCCCACCAGGAACTTCCCACATCCCTTTGGAGTTTGTTGTTGTTGTTGTTTTTTTAAACAAGACCGCAGGAAAAGATTTATCTTGATGACTGAGACTTTCGGAGACAGTGAGCTGGCTGGTCACCCCGCCAAGTGGGCCAGGCAGCACGGTGAGAACCCAGCAGCTGGGGGGGGGGGGTACTGGGGGGCCTGGGGGGCCGGGAGACCGCGTCCAGGAAGGGAACGCAGCCCAGGGCCAGCTGCACCCAGGTGTGACAGTGTCTGCAGCTGCCGGCGAGGCCAGCTTGTGGTCCCGGGAGCCTGGACCAGCCCCAGAGGGAGGGTGGAGAGGAGGCAAAGGGGCCCCAGATTTCCACCCACCCCTCCTGGCCCGGCGCCCCCAGACACGGACTGGCTGGCTGGGCAGATCTCTGTCCCCTCCGTCCCCACACGGCTCTCACCGGGTCTCTCGGGACCGATGCTCTCTAAGGAGCAGGTTTGGGCTGGCGAGGCTCCCCAGAGCCAGGACACCTCCAGGGATCCTCCGCCCCGTCCCCCCAAGAGGGACCACGAACCACACAGGTCACAAGGAGCCCAGGGGTGGCTGGGAGGCCTGGGACCGACCCCCACACAGTGTATGGACACCAGCCCTGCCAGCACCTGGATCTTGGGCGTTGAGCCCCCCTGGAGCTGGGAGACCACAAACACCCGTGGTCTAAGCCTCCCAGTGTGTGGCGATGTGTCCCCACAGCCCCAGGGAACCAGGTCAGGGCTTGTGGATTTTATCACTTCAACTGGGCTGGGCCCCAGCCCCCTAGATGTCACTGGGAAGGTTGTGTGTTTTTTGGTTGCTGTTGTTTTTTTAAATCCTCACCCGACGATGCGTTTATTGATGTTAGCAAGAGAGGGAGGGAGGGAGAGACAGAGAAACACTGATGAGTGAGAGAGACAGAGAGACAGTGATTGTGGTCTCCCATACGCACCCTGATTGGGATTGAATGTGCAGCCCAGGTGTGTGCCTTGATGAGGATTTGAACCCACGACCTTTTGGTGTCCGGAACCACACTGCGAGCCACGGAGCCCCAGGGCCGGGGCGGGGAGGGGAAGGTGGTTTTGAAGGTAGTGCAATGACTGAGCACCAGTAAGTGTGGGGTAAAGCAGATTGCCCTCCCTACTGGGGGGGTGGGCCTGGTCTCATCAGGTGCCGGTCTGAAGAGAAGCATTCCCTGCCGTGCCACCTGCAAAGTGGGACAATCCCGGGGGCCCAGGAAGCGGGTATGGTTCCAGAACAGGTCAGGGAAATGTGGCAGCCCTGTCCCTGGGGGCATCTGTCTCTTCAGGCAGTGCCACTGTCCCCAGCGTGTTTGCTTGGGTAGCACACAAGGACCCCCGTGGCTGGGGACAGCTGTCACTGCACGGGCTCCAGTGGCTCTTTGGGGGGACAGTCTCCACCCTCTGCCTTCCCACGGGGCGATCCCCTGTGGTCCTTAGAGCCTCCCTGTTCCAAGGGGACACAGAGGAGGTGGGCGGAGAACCCCCCTGCTTTGGGGGGCAAACCTCCCAGGAGGTTGCACAGGCTCCAAGCTCCCTGGAGGAGGGACAGCACCTGAAACTTCCACTGCTCACCCTGGAGGGAGGGAGGGAGAGAGAGAGAGGGAGAGAGGGTACCTCACTCACCAAAGCGCTGGGGGGCGCTCCACAGGCCGCCGTGGGCTCGGACGGTCACCGTGAAGGTGCCGGGGTTGGGCAGCCTCCAGGACTCTTCGGAGAGGTTCTGCGGATGGAAGGAAAAGAAACAAGAGGGGACCATTGTCATCCTCGGGGTGCGGGGGTGGGGCAGCTGGCGGCCCTTGCGCAGGTGCTGAGGGCCCTCCCCAAGTCCCTGCGCCTGCAAAGGGGGCCTGGTCTGGGGACAGCGCAAGTGCCGACCTGATGAGTCCAGGGGAGCTCAGCTGGCGTAGAGGGACCCCCATCCCTGCACGAAAGGGGAAGTGGATGCAGACACGGGTGCAGGGAGATGTCACGTGGGCGTCGGGCTGCTGTGACCACCAGCCTAGGGAGCTGCAGGAGCTGGGGGCTGGGCGTGGGCCCGGCCGTCCTCCCCTGGGGCCCCTGCAGGGAGATAGCCCGGCCCCGGGACACCTGGATCGCAGACGTCTGCCCTCCAGGGCGTGGTGGCGGGGCGGACGATGAAGTTTGTCTGAAGACCCCCCATTTGGGGAACTCCCTACAGCTGCCCCAAGATCCTCCATCGGGTGCCCAGAGAGACCCCAAGCAGCCCACCCCCACCCCCCGTCAGGGCATCAGGGACACAGCTGTGCTCAGGGGGACCCCCTGGAGCCCCCTTCCTGCCTCAGCCCAGGCTCTTGGCATCCAAACCAAAAATAGTGTCTACAGTCTGCGGGAGGTGAGTCAATAAGGCCGGGCTACCAGCAGCCAGGCCAAGAGCAGGGGGCGGGGGGCACCCGTGGGGGATTGCGTGGTCAGCCCTGCAGAAGGCTGGATACCGCCCCCCGCCTCCACTGAGAAAGATACATCTGCTGAAGCGGGTGAGTGGGACCTGATCTGGAAACAGGGTGTTTGCAGGCGGGGTGAGGGGAGGGTCTGAGAGGAGGAGGTCGTCCTGGGTCAGGGTGGCCCTGAGTGCAATGACCGGGTCCTGAGAAAGGACAGCAGAGGAGATGCAGACCCGGAGGAGAAGCCACGTGGAGACGGAGGCAGAGAACAAGAGAGAGACAGAGAGAATTAGAGATAAAAGGAGAGAGAGAGGGAGAGACAGAGTCCACAGCCGAGGTTCACAGATGCTTGTCAAAGCCGTGGGCCCCTGTCGGATCGGCTGCCTACAGCTCACGCCTTGGTGACCCTCCCCCACCCCCAACTGAGCATCTGGCCCAGCCTGAGGAATTCAGGGGCGACTGTGACCCTCTGTACGCAGCAGCACCGGGCAGCTCTGTCTCAGACCCCCGGGCCCTCTTTCCCCCGTGGGGGCATTGCCCTAAGGGTGTGCGACCCACCGGGGGGAGACAGTCCTTTGCACAGGCAGCTACATTCTGCAGTGCCCCGGGCGGGCAGGAGGGCTGGGGACACGGGGACACTCACCTTGTCCGTGATGGGGTCGCCTGAGTCCTGGAAGACACAAGCAAACAACCGTGAGTGTGCGGCCCATCCCCCGCCGAGGGTCTGGCTCGTTGAGGTTTACGGAAACGCCGAGCACAAACTGATCCCTGACGGTCCGTGGACAGCAGTGTACGTAAACCCGCGCACAGATGTGCTGAACAGATGCTTGGGTCCAGAGTGGCCAGCGACGGAGAATGCATAATAAATATCGTAATGGAGTCAATGCAAAAGAATAATAATAATAATAATAGAGAGTCCTGGCTGGTGTGGCTCAGTGGATGGAGCACCAGCCTGTGAACCAAAGGGTCGCAGGTTCCATTCCCAGTCAGGGCACACGCCTGGGTTGTGGGCCAGGTCCCCAGTAGGGGGCACACAAGAGAGACAACCACACATTTCTCTTTCCTCCTTTCTCCCGCCCTTCCCCTCTGTCTAAAAATAAATAAATAAAATCTTTAAAAAAATAATCAAACAGGTAATTGAGTACGACATAATCAGTGGAGAATCAATAAAAAAATACAGCATGCACGTGAAACTAACAAACGCAAGTGGGTAATTGAGCCCACAACGGTCACTGGCGGAGTATCAATACAATCACACGTAAATCAATAACACAGAGACGTCCTCAGCAGATAACCTGGGCATGCAACCGCGGACAGGCTCGCTGCTGGGGCAGACCCGGGAGACTTCCTCGTCTTCCCCAGACACGATTTCTCTCCCAGGTGCCCACGCAAGGACCCTCCCATCCTGTAACTTCCCCTTTCCCCTCACGTCTGTGCCTTGTGAACGGCCCACATTCCTTTCGTTCTGCAGACGCTGAATCGTTTTAGGGCTCCTGTACTTGGTGTGTGTGTGACTCTGTGTGTGTGTGTGTGTGTGTGTGTGTGTGTGTGTGTTATCAAGCCCCGCAGCCCCAGGGCACGCCCCAGGACAACACGCACCGCTGGGGCCAGCGCTTACCTTGTGTATTTTCAGCTCGTAGTCAAAGAACAGGTTGAAGTGGCTGAACACCGCCCACTGCAGCACCGCCAGAGACTTGTTGCAGGTGGCCGTCAGGTTGGGCGCCACCAACTCCTCTGGGGCCGGAGAGAAGGAAAACACCGATGCATGAAACACATCCAGATACTCTCCCGGGCCCTGGCCGGCGGAGCTCGGTGGATGCAGCGCTGGGGGGCTGCGAACCAAAGCGTCGCAGGTTCGATCCCCAGCCAGGGCACAGGCCTGGGTTGCAGGCCACGGCCCCCAGCAACCGCACATGGATGTTTCTCTCTCTCTCTCTCTTTCTCCCTCCCTTCCCTCTCTACAAATAAATCAATAAAATATTAAGAAATATACATTTTCCCGGGAGATACTTGGACACGGGCATCCTGCCGGTGTGGCGGCGGGGAGGGGCAGAGAGCCTGAAGGGTTCCCGAGGGGGGCGCATCTGCACAGGTTGGGGGGGACGCGGAACAGAAGTGCGTTGGGACAACCAAGTTCCATCCGCCCAGCCCACCCAGCCCCGCCCCGCCCTGGGCCAGCTGCTCCCCGCCCCTTGGTCTCCTCCTCGGGACCCCCCGGGGGCGCGCTCCAGCCTGAGTCAGCGCTCCCCCAGCACCTGTTCTTACGGATCTCGAATAAATGAACCGCCTCTCACGCGGAAAGGCCCTTTCATGGTCAGGGGAAGGGCAAGGCGCGGGACCCTGGCGCACCAATTTCCGAAAAAGATGCGAAGATCTCAGAGCAGGGCACTCGGGAGCCCCCGCTGGTGCCCTGCACCACGAAGCGGAAGTATCGCCAGTATTCCTCGGCCGGGAGCCGGGAGACGTCCGCAAACTGACACCCGACGTGCGCCCCGGGCTCTCCCTTGGTGTAGTGCGGACACGGCCACTTCTGGGTGGTCCTGCAGCACACGGGAAGCGGTGAGGAAGGACCCAGGGCCCCTCGCGCACCTCCTCTCCCCCCTCCGCGTACCCAGGGCACCCCAGCCGATCCTCGGGGCGCACCTACCCGAGATCCTCTAAGTAGAACTCATACTGCACGTCTCCGGGGGCCTCCGCGCCCACCGCCCAGCTGCACGTCAGGAAATGCAGGTCGTGAACCCGGCATCGCAGGTGCTCGGCGGCCGCCCTAGGGTTCCCTTCTGGGCTCGCCAAGAAGGTGACCAAAAAAAAAGAGCAAGTCCGTTTTAGAGTGATGTTGCGATCCTGTGTCGGTTCCCGGCAGCGACGGAGCAGAACAAAGACGACAATCTCTCAACCGAGGACCCACCCACGTGACCCTTGTAGGGTGTCACCTTCCTCCCTCTGGCGCCCGGCCCGGCCCGCCAGCACCCTGTTCGCCATGGCCACCGGTTTGCCCTTTCGAGAACATCCCTTTTCTTTTTTTTTTCTTTCTTCTCCAGCCTCCAGCCCTGGAGATGCACCCAAGGTCGAAGGACTGATCTGGACACTCCACGGAGCACGTCACGGTCGACGGCAGAGGAGAACCAAAACAGAAGATGCCCAGCCCAGAGGGAGGTGTAGGTGGACACACCGTGCCTCCTCGCACAAACCGGGACGGGGACGACAACCACTTAGAGATAGAATAACAACCAGAACTGACAGAGAATTGAACTGTATGGAAGTTGGACAAGTTCCTCCAGGCGGGTAGGAGGGGCGGAGTCAGCCAGCCGGGTGGAGAGGGGTCTCGGCACAGGGAGCGTTGGGACCAGCATAAGGCATCCCCGGCATGCAAGACGGCAGCGGGTGGACCCCGGCCGAGGGGTGGCAACCGGCAGACCCAGCGAGGCGGCGATTGTGAAGCAAGGCCCTGCGCCCAACCCTGGATCCCGGCACTGGGAAATGGAGCCTCCGGACACTGATTGAAAACACTTGTGGTAGTTGAGGGCCAGGGAGAGACTCCCAGCCTCCCAGGAGAGGTCCTTAGAGAGACCCACGGGGTGCACAAGCCCACCCACATGGGAATTAGTACCAGAGGGGTCCAGTTTGCTTGGGGGAAGCAGCGGAATGGTCTCAAGTCTGACGGAGAGCGGAGCCGGCGCCATTGTTCCCTCTCGGACCCCTCCCCCACGGACAACGTCACAACCCAGCGACTGGGTTGCCCCGCCCTGGGGAACACCTAAGGCTCCGCCCCTCATACGTAACAGGCGTGACAAGACAAAAGAAAAAAAAAAAAAGATGGCTCAAACAGAAGAACAAACGAAAGCCCCAGAACCCATCCTTTTAAGCGACCGAGAGATAGCCAACCTATCAGGTGCACAGTTCAAAGCACTGGTGATCAGGATGCCCACAGAATTGGTTCATTTTGGTCACAAATTACATGAACCAATGAAGGCTACACTAAGTGAAATGAACAAAAATGCACAGGGAACCAATACTGATGGAAAGAAAGCTGGGTCTCACATCAATGGAGTGGACCAGAAGGAAGAAAACAACATACAACCAGAAAAGAATGAAGAAGTAAGAATTCAAAAAAAAATTGAGAGGCTTAGGAACCTCTGGGACAACTTTAAACATTCCAACATCTGGATTATAGGGGTACCAGAAGGAGAAGAGGAAGAGCAACAAGTGGAAAACTTATTTGAACAAATAATAAAGGAGAACTTCCCCAATCTGGCAAAGGAAATAGACTTCCAGGAAGTCCAGGACTCTCAGAGAGTCCCAAAGAAGTTGGACCCAAGAAGGAACACACCAAGGCACATTGTAATTGTGTTATACAAGTTTAAAGATAGGGAGAGAATCTTAGAAGCACCAAGAGATAAGGGGACAGTCACCTACAAAGGAGTTCCCATCAGACTGTCAGCTGATTTCTCAAGAGAGGCCTTACAGGCAAGAAGGGGCTGGGAAGAAGTATTCCAAGTCACGAAAGGCAAGGACCTACATCCCAGATTGCTCTATCCAGCAAAGCTTTCATTGAGAATGGAAGGACAGATAAAGTGCTTCTCAGATAAGGTCAAGTTCACGGAGTTCATCATCACCAAACCTTTATTATATGAAATGTTAAAGGGGCTTATCTAAGGAAAAGAAGAGAAAAAATATGAACAGTAAAAAATAGCAAACTCAAAATCATTAACAACCACGCCTACAAAACTACAACTAACAAACAACTAGAACAGGAACAGAACCACAGAGATGGAGATCCCATGCAGGGTTAGCAACAGGGGAGTAGGAGGAGGGGAGAGGGGGAAAAGGTACAGATAATAAGTAGCATAGATGGTAGGCAGAAAATAGACAGGGGGAGGGCAAGAACAGTATGGGAAATGTAGAAGCTAAAGAACTTATGACACATGGACGTGAACTAAAGCGGGGGAATGTGGGTGGGAGGGGGTGTGCAGGGCGGAGGGGAATGAAGGGGGGGAATGGGACCACTGTAATAGCATAATCAATAAAATATATTAAAGAGAGAGAGAGAGAACCACAACAGAAGATTCTGCGCTCACCTCGTGTGGGGTAGTCGACCCACGCGGAAAACCGCTTCCCGCCGGGCACAGTGACAACAACTGTGTAGTTCCATGGTTCGCATCTGGGCAGCACATTCAGTGGGCAATAACGGTTGTTTATTGCCTAAGGCAGAAAGAGGGGTGCACTGTGTAGAGAGCACACTGAGTGTGATCCTGATGATATTTAGGTCTTCTAAAAATATTGTATTTATTTATTTATTTTTAGAGACCGGGAAAGGGAGGGAGAAAGAGAGGGAGAGAGATATTTATGTGTGGTTGCCTCTAAGGTGCCCCCTCCTGGGGATTTGGCCCACAACCCAGGCCTGTGCCCTGACTGGGAATCGAACCAGCCACCTTTTGGTTCACAGGCCGGTGCTCAATCCACTGAGCCACAGCAGCCAGGGCAATATTTGGATTTTTAAAGAAAACGGTGGCGCTTCCCCATTTGATCTACAGGCTCGATTCCATCCCAGCTGCACGCCAGGACGATCAGCTGTGCTTGTGGGCAAGGGGAAACTCCGTGAAATCCCCAGGGCTCGCTGGGGCTGCAGTGGGAGCAAAAGGGAATGAACAGTCACAGCACAGAAATATTTTTCTTTTTTAACGGGAGGGAAAATACTTTGTGAGATCCACGCCATCACACATTTGTGCCAATCTGTAGGACACGGGACGCCAACAGTGACCTCGGATGGAAACCGTGCACTCTGGGTCATCCGTGTGGGTTCTTCCATCGTAAGAAATGTCCCCTCGGGTGGGGGTGCTGGGCCATAGCAGGGGAGGCCGGGCCGAGGAGGCAGGAGATACACGGGAATCCTGTGCGTCTCCCCCTCGATTTTGCTGTCAAGCCCAAACTCCCTAAAAATAACTTTGCTCATGGAGAAAGCTAGAACATAGGGTGTAAAGTAATCCCACTTACAAATAAACATAGACAGAGGACACCTTTCCGACGATACAACACTATACAAGAAGCGGCAATTTCCGATTGCCAGAAAATGGATAAAATAAAAACTGAAATGTATGTGAATCAGAGATCAAAGGAAAACATAACAGATTGGAATCACGAGGTGTTCCAACTTGGCACCGACACGTGGAAAAAAATTCACAGAGAGACATCCAACTTTCTGAGATCATCCCAGCTCAGAGTCATAAATAAACACACACTTGTTCCATCGGGTAATGTAGCTGCTACAAATGTATCCAGGAGAGCGACAATGAAGCTACTACAAATGTATCCAGGAGAGCAGCAATGCAGCTGCTACAAATGTATCCAGGAGAGCGACAATGCAGCTGCTACAAATGTATCCAGGAGAGCGACAATGAAGCTACTACAAATGTATCCAGGAGAGCAGCAATGCAGCTGCTACAAATGTATCCAGGAGAGCGACAATGAAGCTGCTACAAAAGTATCCAGGAGAGCAGCAATGCAGCTGCTACAAATGTATCCAGGAGAGCGACAATGCAGCTGCTACAAATGTATCCAGGAGAGCAGCAATGCAGCTGCTACAAATGTATCCAGGAGAGCGTTGAGGGTGGCCCAGTGTGGGAGAGGCAGGTGCTTCCCCTCCTGCTTTCCTGGCGCTGAGGGCGCCTGTGGGGCCTCCTGCCAGCCCAAGCGCTGTGCCCTGCACGCCCTGAATTCATGCAAAACGGGGACGCAGAGACGTCATCATCCGGCAGAGAGCCGGGCTTTGGGCAAAGCCAACGCTCCTGCTGCGTGTCTGTCTCCTGCGCGCCGAGTGCTCTCTCTCTCACCTGTGGGTCCCGGCCTGCAGACAGCCGAGCCTTTTCTGTCCATGAAGGACACCAGACGTGTTTTTTGTTTTTTTTTTTGTGGCAAATCGGATCGGCCCCAGAGGAAAAGAAGCCCCAACTACGCTGACATCAGCATTCTCTTCTAGTCACTCAGCTCCCAGAACTCACACGTACCCATCCGCGCGCTCTCCCACCTATCAACGAGATCTTCAGACCCTGCCTCTTAAACGTGAGCAGACCCCCCCCCCGCCCCCCGCCCCGAGGCTGACAGAGCTCTGGTAACACCCCGTCCCAACAACAGGACAGAAACTAAAACCAGGAAAGGGGAACCAAGTGTAGAACCAGAGGCTGGAGAGGAACCGGTGAAAAGAAAACTCAGACGTACGTAAATGAGCAGAGATATTCGCAGGGCGCAAAGGAGACAAACTCCCATGATCAGACAAGAATAGGACCCCGGCGCCGAGCTCGCGTGACCGTGGGGCCAGAGACGGGCTCAGCCGCCCCGGGGGAAACAGCGGGAAATGTCTAGCGTGGCCAGTCGGGGGAAGCTGGTGTTACCGACGAGAGAAACTCTCCATTCACATAGCACTTGATTCTGGACACGTTTCCGTTGAGGTCCCAGGTCAGTCTCATAGTTCCTCGGTCCAGCCGTAAGTTCGCGATGGGCGGGCTGTGATCTGCAGTGTGGACACAGGCAGTGAGAAGAGACACGTGCGCTGAAGCTGGCACCTCGGGCCGGGGCGGGGGGCGGGGGAAGGAACTTTTTTCTCGCTCGGAAGTAGCCACTGCCCCGGAAGGTCGTGTTCTGCGCAGGCGAGGGATTGCCCGACCTGGCTGGGGTCCCAAGCAAGACTGTCTTATTCCACTCATGAGCTGATCCCCCCCACCCTTCTTCATGGGGGGAGCATTCGGAACGGAAGATCACTTCCGCCATCCTGGTGCACAAGGAAAGAACTCCACCCCCCTCCCCCCAAAAAAAAACAACCCTCAGAATTATCCTCTGGAGGGCGGGCCCCTTATAGGACAGGCTTCCCCCACTGGGTGGGTGTTCTCGGAACCCACTGGTATCAGTGCGCCAGCTGGCGTTGTTGTGAGAGGCTGCGTTCGGCTCCGCTGAATTTTTTTTTTGAAGACTCTTTCAAGGCGCTCCCCCATTTCATGATGGGTGATTGACACCGGCCCACACCTCACTTTTTAGCAGTTTTTAACCAAAACCAGCATGACCCCCAATCCGCAGCCTCCCTGTTTATCTGATCTCGCCCTGAGCAACTTTTTTTTTTTTTTTCATTTTCCCCGGGGGGGAAACAAGTCCTCCAAGGGAAACGTTTGGCCCACGTGGAAGAAGTGAAAGTAAAAACGGCAGAAGCACTTAAGAGGCATCAACATCCACACATTCAAACGTGGTTCTGAGCCGTGAAACACACGTCTCAACAGGTGCATTGCATCTAAAGGAGAGTCCTTCGAAGGGACTGAAGTTTAAACGTGGAAAAATAAGTACACAATGTTTTATAAATAAATTGTGTTTTGCGGGGGGGGGGACCCTCTCGTAGGTGAAACGGGCCTTTCAGAACCAGGTATCTCCCAGTATGTTATTCACACTGCGAACCGACAACAAATTCTCGTGGAGATGTTTAGCGCCAACTCTCTCGCATGGAATATTCTTTTGGAATGCTTTGCAATAACATGTGTGTGTGTGTATTTGCATATATATATTTGCTCTACTTCCTAAAATATGAGGCATGATAATTACTCAGCGGTATTCACATGGTTATATAGTTCACAAACTGAGTGACATGTCATATCATTGGAAAACCTCGCCTGGCTGGCGTAGCTCAGTGGATTGAGCGCAGGCTGCGAACCAAAACATCGCAGGTTTGATTCCCAGTCAGGGCACATGCCTGGGTTGCAGGCCACGGCCCCCAGCAACTGCACATTGATGTCTCTCTCTCTCTCTCTCTCTCTGTCTCTCTCTCTCTTTCTCCCTCCCTTCCCTCTCTAAAAATAAATAAAAAAGAAAGAAAGAAAACCTCTCAGAGGACTATATATACAGCTTCAATTAAAGTAATAGAGACACATTTTGTGCAAACCGCAATCATATAAGGCCTGAACTACCTGTTGGTACATTGAAAAAGATTTAACTCACTCACAGTACATTTTCTCACTGTAACAGGATCAAATTCAAGATCAATTTTAAAAATTGAGAAAAACAGCACACTTCTAAATCACCACATGGGTGATCAAAAAAAAAATCTCAAGAAAATTGAGAACACGTTTTGAACTGAATAAAAATAAAATTAAACAACGGGTAGGCAGCTACCACAAGACTTAGAAGGAAATTCATAATTTAAAATTTTTACGGTACAAAAGAAAGGTTTAAATTCAATAACCTGAGAAGTGCAAGAAAGAAGAGGAAACTAAACATAAAAAGTAAACCGAAAACCCAATTCCTAAAATAACATATATGATGAAAGTCAGTTACAAAGGGATTGGGAGATGGGTACAGATATTCCAGAAAAACCAGAAGCCGGGTGTGTGTAATGATTAATACGATTGATAACCGTTGGGTTAGAATGGTCCAGAAAAAAAGAGAGGTAGAAAATAACCCAATTTATCAATGGAAGTGGGGAACATGATACCTATTTCTCAGGTGGCTACCAGACCTACCAGGGGATGATTTTGTAAGTGATATAATCACTATGATGGAAGCCTGCAACTAATATACTGTTATGTGTCCACTGCAGTTGAAAAATGAAAGAAATTTCACCCTGGCTGGTGTGGCTCAGTGGACTGAGCGCCAGCCTGCAAACCAAAGGGTCGCCGGTTCCATTCCCAGTCCGGGCACACGCCTGGGTTGCCGGCCAGGTCCCCAGTAGGGGGCGCATGAGAGGCAACCACACACGGAGGTTTCTCTCCCTCTCTTTCTCCCTCCCTTCCCCTCTCTCTAAATACATGCAAACACAAATTTTAAAACGAAAAGAACCATAAAAGAAATTTCAATGCATCCACGCCAATAGAGTCCATAACAGACAACCTACACAAACTCCTTGACAGACAGAAGTGGGCACTGAGGTAGAAAAGAAAAACTCTGAATAGTGGGATACCACCTATTCATCCCGCAGTGCAGCTGCTACAAATGTATCGAGTACAAAAGAACAGAATTTCTAACAGAGATCTTCCCATACAGAAGCCTTGTGGATGGGTTCTTTTCTGTTTATCAGGGAAGAAATTATGCCAACGGGCTCCAACTTTCGAAAGAGAAAGGGACCAGGAACGATTTCCCGGCGGATTTGATGAAATCGGCGTGATGCCGATGCCGAATCCGCGATGTTACAGTTCAAGTAGAGGCCAGCACTCCTTATAAACACAGACACAACATTGCTCTCCAAAATAATACCAAAGAAGAGCCAGCAATGTATGAAACCGGTAACACCTCCCGCCCTGAGAGAGTTCATTCTCCAGGTAGGTCAGGGTGTTTTAACCATCAATATCATTTGTCTTACTAACAACAACAACAACAAAAAAACAGATTATCTTCTCAACAGAAGCAGAAAAAAAATAGTAAAGACACCCATTTGGGATTTATAAAACTATTTCACACCCATTTAGCTTTAAAAACTCAGCCAACTAGGAAACAAGCAGAAAATAATCATTAACACCCATTCGGGATTAAAAAAAAATTCACACCCATTTGGGCTTAAAAATTCAGCAAACTGGAAATAAAAGGCAGGGTTTTTACCCTGATTAAAAAAAAAAAAGGATGGAAACACAGCCGCTAATTCAGACTCAATAGTGAATGACTAACCACATCTCCCCGACGCATGATAGAGGCTGGTATGTGGTTGTGACTCTTCTGTTGCATTGTGTCCTGTGCCCACGGCCCCTCAGGGGCGACCGCACACGGTGGGCGCTTTAGGGTCTTTAGCGGGGAATTGTTACAATGCTGGACCATGTTGCCTACAACCTTCAGGCTTCAGCCGATTTGTCCTGGAAAGAGACTCACTTCCTCCTTGTGGTCAGTGATGCTGCGATGCCCACGGGCCTGCAGAGACAGCAAACGTGGCCACCACTGCTGACCCGGTGGGGACCCGGAGAGGGGCCCTCAGAAGGCCAGGATGCGAGGGGCGGGGGGGCTCTCAGAACGGTAGGAGGCCTCCTCCCTGCCAGACAGGCCCCCTGTCTCTGCGTGTCTGTCTGATCCCTGGCTGTAGCCCTCACGCTTGCTAGTGTACTAGGTCAGGAGCGGCGTGGGGCACTTGTGACCCTGACCCAAAAAGTCCTCGGTGGACCCTACAAACTCCTCCACGCACGTGAGGGGCCCCAAGGAAGCATTCTGGGTCGCTGAGTGATTCCTGTCACCTGGGAATCAGGGTGTCTGCAGACGGGATGAGGGAAGGATCTGAGAGGAGGTCATCCCGGGTCAGAAGAGGAGACGCACACACACTGTGTGGAGACGGAAGCAGAGGCGGGAGGGACGCGGCCACCAGCCCGGGGACGCCTGCACCTGAGACGCCTGGTCTCCGGAGCAGGGCGTGGAAGGTGGCTGAAGGCCTGTCGTGTGCGGCACTGGGTTGGAGCAGCTTTTATGGCCCGAGTGTGTGTTCCCTCCATTCCCACGTGGGAACCCCGACGCCCAGGGTGTGGTGCCGGGAGGGGCGGACTTTGCCAGGGGGCCACGGTGGGATTCGTGCCCCCATAAGAAGAAAAGACCACGCCCCACCGCCTTCCACCTCCGGACACGGCCGAAACACGGGGGTCTCACGGGGCACCAGCCGCCGGCTCTCTCCTGGTGGGCTTCCAGCCTCGAGAACCGTCGGAAACCACCGTGTCGGTTGAAAGCTGCTATCGGCCTGAGCGCACGGACAGGAGGCGCCTCAAGCCGATGCCCCCGGCTCCCCACGCGGCAGCCCACACCTGCCCCCACGCCCCTCTGGGGCGGGCGGGCCCTGGGCAAGGCTTACGAAATCTGGCGGCTGCCACCGCAGCAGCCCCTGCGGTCCTGGGTGATGCAACCGCCCAGAGCTGCTGGGCACGGGCTCTGGAGGTTTAAAAATATCCCCTCTGTTCCGACAGGCCCCTGAGGGTTGGGAAGAAGAATACAAATGGAGCCCCTTTAAAATGGAGGGGCTGCCACCCCGTGGGCGTTAAAACAGGACAAAGTGACCTCTGCTCGGGGCCGAAAGCCACCTTGTGTCCCACAGAGCTGCCTGCAAAGGGGACGGGGAAGCAGGTGGGGTGACGCCTGGACGGAGGAGCCCAGGACTGAGCATGAAACACGCCGTGGAGAGTCAGCGTCACGATGCCGTGTCCTCTGCGTCCACAGCCACGCCCCCCTGCTGGGGGTGTCCTTGTCCCCTCCCCTTTCTCCTACGTGAGTGCCACCCCTTTGTCTGCTCACCGTGGGGACCCCGTGAGGGCTCCTGCCCAAGTCAGCGCTCCCCCAGGAGCGGTTCTTACGAATCGCAAATCAGTGCAGTTACGGCTCCCTCGGAAAGGCCCTGGATTTCTGGGGGAACCGAAGGAAACCAGACACATCCCGGGGCCGGGACGCTGGACGGGCTGTGACTCGGAAGCTCGCCACGAGCCGTGTGTCCTTTGTCACTGCGGGCACCGCTGTGGCCTCCGCCCTTGGCCGTGGGGAGAACGCCTCCAGGGGACCGCTCCAGCAGCCTGAGATGCTGTCACCCCCAAACACGGTAGTTTTAGGGACGGATTAGGGAGGGATGCCGATCCCAGACTACTTTTTTTTTATATTTTTAAAAATTTAGAGAGAGGGGAAGGGAAGGAGAGAGGGAAACATCCACGTCTGGTTGCCTCTCACACGCCCCCTACTGGGGACCTGGCCTGCAACCCAAGCACGTGCCCTGACTGGGAATCGAACCAGCGACCCCTTGGTTCGTAGGCCAGCGCTCAGTCCACTGAGCCACACCAGCCAGGTCACTGGCGTTTCTTTTAATTAATAACCCTGAAAGTCCTCACACTGGACTCTGAGCCACGGCCAGGCCCCAGTGCATGGAGCTCCAGGTCCTAGCTTTGCAGGGCGGCCCCACCGTGAGGTCCAGCAGTCTCACTAAGTGCAGAACGACGCGTCCAGCCAGCGCCCTGGGAGCGGCGCACCTACCTCCGTCGGTCGGCAGCAGGCAGCAGACGGGCGTCAGCACCACGAGGAGCCGCAGCAAGGCCATGGGGCGGGCGGCCCCCCCGGGGTGGGGGGGTGCACGAGCTGCGGGAGAACAGAGGTGGCGTGTGGGCGTGGCTTCGGGGACGAGGACGGCGGCCGGGAGGACCGGGCGCTTGGAGCTCCCTGGGAACCGCGTGCTTGCGGAGCAGGCAGCTGGGTGCCGGAGGAAGGCTCCGGGGCGTGTATGCTCTGGGCACGTGCATATGTGCGCGTGTGCCCGTGTGCACACGGTGGTGAGCGTGTTTGCGCGCACCTGTCTCCATTCTCCATGCATGTGTCTGTGCATGTGCACGTGAGGTGGGGTGCACGCCTGTGTTTGCACGTGTGCGCGCATATGCGTGCGCAGGTGCGTCAGTGGATGCGCACACGTCTGCACTTGCGCATGCACGCGCAACACGCAGGTTGTGCACGCCAGCGTCCTCGTGTGCCCACACACTGTGTATGCATACGTGTGCACGCCTGCATATCACCGTGCGTGCCGTGCGCACAGGCGTGTACGCCGGTGTCTGTGTGTGCCTGCCTGCCTGTGCGCACACGCCTGCGTGCGTGTCCTCTGCGCGTGCACACGTGTGTACACGTGCGTGTAGGTCAGCGTGCCCTCAAGGAGCGCCCACCCTGGGCTCAGCCGCCCCTTGGCTCCCGCCCCTCCCACATCCCGGAAAGCACTGGCCAGGAAAAGCGCGGGCAAGGGGCGCGGTGACCGTGGTGACGGAGCTGGGGAAGGAAGTCTCATTAACCCGGAGCAATCGCGGAAGGAGGAGCCGACTGCTGAAGGGACCCAGTTACGGTCAGGGAGCCCTGCGCTGTCCAAAAAGTCCCCGCCGGGACTTTTTTCCTGCACCCTCCGCTGGCCGCGTCCGCCTCCTGGGCCGACGTGGCTCTTCTGCCCCGTGTGTCTGCGTCTCCTGAGGACCAGTCACTGCATGTACCCGCCCCCCCCGCGCCAGGACGACCTTTTCTCACGCCCTCCTGAGACGCCCCCCACTCCGCACCCCTCACGCTGACACATCCCTCGCAAACAGCGTCGCGGCTTCGGCGGCAGGGCAAGGGACAACTCCAGGACGGGAGACAGCCTCGTTGGTGGGGGTGTCTGGAGACACACGTCTTGCCGTCCCGTGTGCAGTACAGGGACCAGGAGCAGGCGACCGAGGGCCCCGCCCCCACGCTTAAATATGTGACATTTAAGGTCCTGTTTGTCAGCCGTGGCTGGCGCAGCTCAGTGGATGGAGCGCGGGCTGCGAACCGAAGCGTCGCAGGTTCGATTCCCAGTCAGGGTACATGCCTGGGTTGCAGGCCACGGCCCCCAGCAACCGCACACTGAAGTTTCTCTCTCTCTCTCTTTCTCCCTCCCTTTCCTCTCTAAAAAAATAAATAAATAAAGTCTTAAAAAAAAAAAGGTTCTGTTTATCCAAGGCCAAAGCAGCCCGTCTCAGGACAAAAGGAAGGCCAGCATTTGAACCGCGGGACGTGCCTCTGGTTCTTGGAGACCGGCCAGTGGCTGCCGGTTCGCTGGGCATCCGGTGGGACCCGGTGCCTGGCTTCCGCCCGGCTGGGCGGAGAACCCTTCGGCGTAAGCCCCCTCTCCCGCCCGCCCCTTCCCTTTCCCGCCGCACGGGACCGACTTCCAAGAACCACGCGGCAGTCAGTAAACTGTCCTCGCTTGTGGTTCCCCAATGGCGAGCGTGGAGCGCGCGCACGAGGCTGCGGCGGGCACAGAGAAGGGGCGAGATTAGAGGGCCAGGACTCGACCCCCCGCCGCCGCACTCCCACCACCCCGCCTGCCTGGAGGGAGGGAACCTCAGCCCATCTCCGTGCCAGCGGCAGCGGGGAAGGCTGTGAGTATGGAGGGGAGGGGGGGCGGGTCTTGGCCGCCGGCCGGCCCCGTGGATGAGTCTCTGTCCGCTCATTCACCGGTCAGTACCTGACCCGCAGGTCGCCGGCTGAGAGGTGGTCACGACCCCGCGCTGTAAGGATCTACATGCTTGGGGCGTGCGAGCCTGCAAAGGCACCCTAGGGTGGGTGTGCGTGAGGCAGCACAAATCCAGGCGTCTGCGACCCCCTGGAGACCAGGAGCCGCCCAGCGCGCTGTGGGGGGGGGGGTGTGGAGTGAGCATCCCATCACCGGTGCTCCAGGACCCGCGGAGTGGGACCACGGGGCGCGGACGCCACCTCCCCGCGGCCGGACCTAGTTCACGCGCATCGGGGCGCTCCCAGGACACCCGTCCAAGCTCCGGGCCCGCGCCCTGGCACCCCAGCCTACGTCGCTCCCCACCTTACCTGGGGTGATGCAGAGCCAAGCCCCGCGTGGGAGAGGCCCGCTCTCGGCCGGCCGGTGGCCTGCTGGCTGGGGCGGGGGGGGGCCCTCTTCACGCCCTTCCCTCTGGCATCCTGCTGCCGTCTGTGCCGCAGGAACTGACGAGAAACCAAAGTAAGTGTGTTTCCCCCGATTCAGCTTTTTATAGCCACGCGGGCGGGGCCGCCCCATGGGGTGGGGGTGGGGGTGGGGGTGGGGGTGGGGATCAAGTCCAGGAAGCCTGAGTCTCTCTCTCTTTCTCTGAATCTGGGGTTCGGCAGAATGACAAGAACCGTGTGTTTCTGTTATCGAAGGTTCCTCTTTGCCGGCACCCGGAGGCCAGGGCCGGTCCCCCCGGGTACCAATGGCCTTGAGCAATTTCCTGCCGGTGCTGATAGAGGGGGGGGGCTGCGTGTGCCCTCAGGTCGGGGCTGGGGGAGGGGGGGAGGTGGATGCGGCGATGACCCCGAGTGTCCCTGTTCTGTTGCTGCCCAAGCAGTTTCTTGGGTTGCATCCAACACCCGCAGGGTTGCGCCGGCTTTTCCTTTCTGGCTGCTGTCGCCTCCGCTCAGGAAAACCCCTGTGGACCTGTGTCCCTCCAGGTCCTCCCTCGTGCCCTCGCTGCCCGGCTCAACCCCCTCCCCCTCTTCCATCCCCCCCCTTCCTGGGAAGCCCTGTCCCAAGATGCCGGCTCCCAGGTTGAAGGGTGTCCCTTCTCCATCTGCATGTGCCTGGAACCTCAGGACGGGAATGATTCTGCAGACAGGGCTGCCGCCGCCCTCCTGACGTTGGGGTGTGCGCCCCCCCGCGGGAACACGGGGTCTCCAGGTGCTGCGGCCTGGGGAGACAGAGACCTCCTCACAGGGTCTGGAAGAGGCGGATGTGAGAGGGGCCCCGGGGACTCCTGGACCCCAGATGCTGGGTCTCCAGGACGGGGGAAGGGGGAGTCCCTGTGGGTCGGAGCCCCCAGGTTATGGGGATGGGCTGTGGCTGCCCCAGGGCACCCCGTGCATGGGTCTTGGGTCTGGGTGGCTGCGCAGCCCCAGGTTGGGACAAAAACCACCCTCCCCGAAAGGGTGGGACCAGGACCCCTGCCCCTCACCCCCTCCATGGAGGAGTGGGGTTCATGCCCACTTTGGTGAGCATTCAGGCAATTCTGAAACTCGGGGTGCAGGAGTGCGTGACCCCTCACAGTGTGCCGGACCCACAGCATATGGCGGGGAGTTGGGGTGCATGGTGGGGGGTCAGTGTGGGTGAGACAGGGAGGGGGTTCACAGGGCTGCCGAGACCTGAGGGCCGTCCCCTGAGCCGGACCCCTGCCCACATAGCCACCGTGGGGTGGGGGGCTCCAGTCTGCCCCCTTGTTCTCCCTTCCTTGTTGCGGGGGGGGTCTTTTTCTGTTTTCCCCTGTGTCTGTGTCTTTGCTTCCTTGCATGTTCTGTTTTTCTTCCTTTCTGTGTTTTTCTGTTTCTCTCTTTTTCTTTTCTTTTTTTTCTTTCCATCTTTCCCTTTTCTCTCCTTCCTCCTTTCTCTGCGCATCTTCTGTTCCTTCTTGTTCTCTCCCTTTCTTCTTCCTTTGTTTCTTCTTCCGTTTCTCTGTGTCTCTTTCCACTCCTCTCTCTCTGTCTCTCATTGTGTTTTGTTTATCTCTTCTGTTTGTGTGTTTCTCATTATTTTCTGTAGTTTTATTGGCTGAGTCTCAGTTACCCTGCCTTCTCCTTTCTCTTTGTTTCTTTCTGGTTTTTTTTTTTTTGTCTTTTGTCTTTTGACCTTCTTATTTTCTCCTGCCTTCCTCCCCTCCTTTCTGTCTTTTCTCTTTCTTTTCTCCCTCCAAAAGGCCAAAACACAGACCCCAGGGAGCACACACATCCATGTTTGCATCGTGAGCGGCTGTCCGGCTGGAGGAGAGGCCCCTGGGCCCTGCGCCCCCCACGGGGAGGCCGGCACCCCAGGGAGAAACTTCGCCCAGTGCTGGCAGTGCGGACCCTGGGGCCCTGGGCCTGCAGCTCTGGGATGAGCAGGGCCAGTCCCCACGGGGCGGCCCTGGGGACACCCCAAGCCCGAGGAGGCTGTGAGTTCCAAGTCCTGGCTGTGCCTGCTCCGGGGACCCAGGCACGGGCGGGTGGGGCCCCACCTCAGCTCCGGGTGGTGGGGGCACCCCTGGTGTCAACCTCCTCCTGCGGGACCCGGGAGGCTGCCCCTTCCCCTCAGCACACCTGACTCTCGCCCACACCACTTCCCGCCCGCCCGCTGCCCAGCGACCCGCGCCGTCCCCCAGACACGCGGAGGTGACCGCACACCGGAGAATGGAAGGCGGCGGGAGTGGACGGCCGGGGAGGAGGGGGTCAGGGAGCCCAGGCTGGGAGCGAAACATGCTGCTCCGGCGGGGCAGGGCAGTGCACCCGGGGGACAGAGGAACAGAAAGTGGGAACTGGGAAAAGGGGGTGGGCCTGCCCGGGGCAGCCACCTGGGCCGGGGGAGCCACCACAGGGCTCCGCAAGCTGCACCCGCGACGACAGACCCCAGCGGGCGGCGCAGACCGGCCCTCTCGGGGGCTCAGCCGGCAGGGCAGGGCCGGGGAAGCCTTCCTGCTCAAGCAGCCGGGCAGCCCCGAGGAGCCCCGGGCACGGCGAGGAGCCTAGACGGCGAGGCCCTGGAACAGGCCCCGTGCCGCCCACCGGCTGGGTGCTCGAACCCGGGACCAGGTCCAGAGCCCCCGTGCGGGCGGCCACCAGGGAGCCCGAGAGACGCTCGCCGCCCGTCCCCACGCCGTTCTCCCTCGGCGAGTGTGCGTTGCGTGTCCTGTGGGAACCCATCCGAGGAGTGGTGGGGACGAGTCGTGACCTCCCCCCGTCCCCCCGTCAGCAAAGTCGTGGTCGCCGAACCGCCGTGGGTCAGCGCGGGCCTCACAGACACGGGTTTTAGAGCAGGTCCGTGTGCTGTATTATGGTCATCGAAAAACATAGCCCTGGCTGGCGTAGCTCAGTGGAGTGAGCGCGGGCTGCGAACCAAAGTGTCGCAGGTTCGATTCCCAGTCAGGGTACATGCCTGGGTTGCAGGCCATGACCCCCAGCAACTGCACATGGATGTTTCTCTCTCTCTCTCCCTCCCCTCTGTAAAAATAAATTAATAAAATCTAAAAAAAAAAAGAAAGAAAAGAAAAACACGGCGTGGGCGTGACAATGTCTGAGATGCCTGCAGGCTGTTGGAGTGGAGACTCCACCATGCCTGTCCCTGGGGTCCCCTGGGGTCTCCAGGGCCAGGTAGCGGCTGCCCTGCCCCTTGGGTCAGAAAGGTGGGACCTCCATGGCCTCTCTCCTCCAGCGGGGGTCCTCAAGACAGTGGCTTCCCTGGAGAACTTCCCCAGACCCCAAATCAGACACTGCACCACTCTGCCCGCCCCCGACCTCAGGAGGAGGGTGCTGCTGGGTCAAACACTCCCAGGCACTGGCTCTGGGGGGCGTCCATCAATGTGATTGACAGGGGCCCTGGGACTGGCTCCTCAGTGTGGCTGACAGCCCTGGAACCTGCTCGTCATCGTGATTGACAGGTGCCCTCTGCTCTCTGCGGGCACCCAGCAGACCGGCCCACCCAGAGCCTTCCCAGGCTGTAAAACCATGTGTTAGCTCTTCACCAGCAATTGTTGGGGAGACGTGGGCCCTTCCTGCCACTTTCAGTGCCTGTGCAGGACAGCGGCGGCCCCCAAATTCACTTCCCTGAATGCCTGGGAATGGGGCCTTGTGGACACAGGGTCTTTGCAGATGGCACTTGGCAAAGGCTCTGAGAGGAGGGCGTCCTGGGTCAGGGTGGCCCTGCGTCCAGTGACCGTGTTCTGAGAAGGGACACAAGGGGAGACGCAGACCCGGAGGAGAAGCCACGTGGAGATGGAGGCAGAAACGGGAGGGACGCGGCCACCAGCCCGGGGATACCTGGAGGCCCTGGAGCTGGAAGAGTGGGGAGGGACCCTCCCTGGAGCCTGTGGAGGGAGGGGGCCCTGGGACCCCTGGGTGACCTCAGACGCCTGGTGTGCAGGACATGGGAGCATGAATTTACATCATTCGAAGTGTCTGGATTGTGGTCCGTTATTTCAGCTGCTCCTGGACCCTCATGTAATAACCACATTTTTCGTTTTTCTTCCCCCCACGCTCCGCACTGAGCCCTGGTCCCCCCGCCCCCCGTCCAGCCTCCAGGAGCCCAGCGCGGGTCCCCAACCCAAGTCGCACAGGTGCGCCCGTCCGTTTCCGAGCCTGCCAGCCACCCACGCAGCCTGCGACCGACTACCCAGGCTCCTCCGATGTGGAGTTGAAACCCACGCCCGCCGATCAGAGACCCCCACGGGGGTTGTACTCACGCACAAAGCCGTCACGCCTGTTTCCAGGAGACACTCACCTTCCTGGCCCACGCGTTTCCGCCACCGAACCTGCGGCACCTGGAGCGCCCTCTGGCGGCGGGCGCCCCACCCGGTGGTCACTGGCGGCGGCGGCCACGGTGGTTGTGCACGGGGATTGCGACACGGGCCCGTCCTCGAACCCAACCCCAGCCGGCGCCCGCGATAAGGGCATCCCCTTCCCAGAAAACACACCTTGCGCGCTGCTCGGAAAGCGTTTCGAAAGATGGGGGCCGCCCTTTATCTCGGCTCGGCCCCACCCAAGAGCGTCCGCGGCTGACAGTAAAAATCTTGCTGATCAGTGGCCGCGGTCTCTTGTGAAATGCCGGTTGCTTTGTCGCCGAGGGCGGTCGGGTCGAGTGGCCCCCCCAGGGTGGCCGGGTGGGAACACGGTCCTCTTTTTTTTTTTTTTTTAAGATTTTATTTACTTATTTTCAGAGAGGGAAGGGAGGGAGAAAGAGAGAGAGAGAGAGAGAAACATCCATGTGCGGTTGCTGGGGGCCATGGCCTGCAACCCAGGCATGTGCCCTGACTGGGAATCGAACCTGCAATGCTTTGGTTCGCAGCCTGCGCTCCATCCACTGAGCTACGCCAGCCGGGGCTCCTTCTTCTTTGGGTGGGTGAAGCCCCTTCCACGTGTACGTGCAGCGTGTGGGTGTCGGGAGCGGCAGCAGGTAGGACTGTCCCAAAATCAGTGAGGCTGTGCCCCTGAGTTCTGCGCCAGGTAGCGTTAGCTACCGACGCCACCCTGATAAATTCAGCCCTGACCGAAAACGCAAACCACAAGACATCAGGAAATGGAGGAGGACCGTTGCCTGTCATTTGTTCAGAGAACTGGGGGTGCCTGAGATCTGCCACCTCGGGGGGCTGTTTGACACCCTTTTCCCCCATGACTTTGCTCATCGTCAAAGGTGTCTCAGAGACAGACAGAGAGAGATGGGGGAGAGAGAGAGAGAGAGAGAGAGAGAAAGAGAGGGAACACACCTAAATGGATGCACAGAATGGGGACCAGCCACGACACCGTGGAATATTATGCAGCCAGGAACAGGAGCCAGGCTCTGACTCGGGCTGCAGCGTGGATGGACCTGGAACACGGGAGGCTCCGTGAGAGACGCCAGACACCCACGGTCCCGCAGTGTGGATTCCGTGTGTGGGAAACGTCCAGAGCAGGCCCGTCCGCAGGGACAGAGCGGGGATCAGTGGTCGTCAGGGGCTGGGAGAGGGAATGGGGCGAGCACTCATGGGGAGAGGGTCTGTTTTGGGTGATGAGCATGTGGTGGACTGAGACGGTGCTGGTGGCTGGTCCCCACTGTGAGTTTGCCACGTGTCACTGGTGGTAATAAACGCGCACCACCAGTTTCTCTGTGTGGACGGCGGGTGCTGCCGCCTCTCTCCAGGGCAGAAGCGCTCTCATGAGAAAACCTCCTTCACAGCCCGGGGTCCCCCCATGTGGCCCCGGGGAGCGGCCCGTGTGTGCACCCCAGGCACGCCTGATTTTTCTGTCGTGTGCATGAGCTCATTTCCCTGTAGAAACCAGCTTTTTAAAAATTTTTATTTATTTATCTTTTTTAGATGGGGAAGGGAGGGAGAAAGAGAGAGAGAGAAACATCCATGTGCGGTTGTTGGGGGCCGTGGCCTGCAACCCAGGCATGTGCCCTGACTGGGAATCGAACCTGTGACATTTTGGTTCGCAGCCCTCAGCGCTCCATCCACTGAGCTACGCCAGCCAGGGCTGAAACTGGCTTTTTAAACAGTCACACATATAAACACGGAAGACTAAAAACTTCCTGCAGTTGGAGGATGAGCCCACTGGGCCTCCTGGTGTCACATTCTCATGCATGTGTGTCTATAAACACCCATGCACACACATGATCACATGCCATGCACACATGCACCCTGTCACTGACACATCCATGCCCCTCCATTAACACCTGCATGTGTCCACATACATGCACACACACGCACACGCCACCTCACCTCTCCTGCCACACTACATACGTTCCCATCGTGCAGCAGCGACGCTGTGAGTGGGTCCCTACAGGCAAACACACGACGACACCCCCTTTCCCGCCCCCGGGGCCGCTGCACTGTGCTGTCCACACCGGTCTGTCCACACACACGGACGCATTTCTGCAACCGTGCGGAGCCGACCTCGGCGGGCACGGGGCTGTCCATCCCTGGGCCGCGTGCTGGGCCGTCTGGGAGGCACCAGCTGTGAGAAACCCGCGGATGACAGCGTCCAGCACGGCGGCGAGCTTTCGGAAACCAGCGCACACAGTTCGCACCTGCCAGTCCCGTGACACACGCTCTTGGCTTTATTTCACGTTCCCTGTGGCGCATGCAGCACCTAGCCACATAGGCGGACAGCCAGCGGACAGCGTGGCGCCCACGCAGCTGGGGGACAGCAGCCCCTCCACCCCCAAACCTGCGCTGAAGCTTTCGCGTCAGAAAGGGCTGCGCCTTCCACCCGAACAGCAGCAACAGGGCTCCTCGGGGGGCCGAGATGCGTCTGAGTGACAGAGCGCGGAGCTCCAAGGAGCTCTCTCCATCCTAGCCCCGCCCTCCGCCTCTCGCCCCGCCCACCGCCCTCTGCCCCCCCCCCCGGTCCCGCCCACGGGTGGCCGAGCTGCAACCGGTGTTTCTCACCCCCCCCCGGGGAAAACTGCTCTGAAACGGCCCCTCAGGCGTGCCCACGGTCTGCATAGCCTATCGCTTGGAGCTTCGCCGTAGTGGGGGGGGGCGGGTGACCAGGGGTGTCTCCGTTTCCAAATGGGAGCCGATTCACCTGCCAGGTGCTTCAGAGCCCTGGGCCGGGCCACCTCCCGCAGGGGGGTCGGGGGCGCGCAGGACCCAGGGGTTGGGCGGGGTGCGGGCAAGCAGGTAGAAAAGGCCACGACGTGGCCGGGATCCCAGGGGCGGGGCGGGGGGGGCGCTTTGGACTCGAGTCAGAAGTTCTGCACATGGAGAGGAAGAAGTTCGGAACTGGTGTCTTCAGAGCTGGGGCGGGGCGGGGCTGGGCCCGCGGGTTGCGGGTGCTGCCGGTCCGCTCACACAGGGCAGCATTTCCTCCACAGCCACAATGTCCTCGGGTTCCGGGAAGCTCGGCGGCCGGTGGCCCCCGGCCCAGAGGATCTAAGAGAGGACACAGCACAGCAGAGGCCACCAGCTGGCGTCCCTGGGTCGCCCGTCACGAAACGGGGGAAGGACCAGCCTTCCCAGAAGCCCCAGGGCCCAGCAGCGCGCACCACAGGCGGTGGAATATTACGCAGCCAGGAACAGGAGCGAGGCTGTGACTCGGGCTGCAGCGTGGGCGGGCCTGGAGCACAGGAGGCTCCCCCGTGAGAGACGCCAGACCCTCACGGTCCCGCGGCGTGGATTCCGTGTGTGTGGGATACGCCCAGGGCAGGCCCATCCGCAGGGACAGAGGGGGGTTCCGTGCATGCCCACCGCGGCGGAAGGGCGCGCTTACCTTGGGCGAGGGCGCAAGGCTGCCCACCAGCTCCGGCTTCACCTGTGGCACCGGTGGGAAGAGCGTCCGCCTCAGGGGCCACCTGCCGAGGAAACAGGGCGCGTGGCGGCCTCCCGTGCAGGCAGCCGGGCGCGGGGTGGACAACCCCGACTGCACACACTGGCCGGGTGTCCTGGGGCCTCATCGCCCCAGCAAGTGGACTCCTCACAACCCCGGGCCACCCCCCTGGGACAGCGACCCCCGCTGGGGGCCGCAGGAACTGCCTGCCGCCCCCTGGTGGCTGCCGCGAGCAAGGACAGGCTGAGCCCTGTCCCGGCTTTGCAGGGGGCTCAGAGCATCGGGCAGGACCCTGGTGTGGACGCGGTTCTGGGGTGCGCGGGGCGGGGGTGGGCTGGGGGACGGTCCCTGTCTAGCGCTGGGAGCTCAGAACCGTCTTGGGGACACGGAAGACGCATCATTCTGTGCAGAGACTCCTGGGGTCACGTCTTCGTGAAAAATCCTGGCCTCCGTCACAGCTTTCCTCCACGTGCAAAGTAATGTGTCCACCCCTGAGTGGGAGGCTTTTCGCGGTGACTGGAGGCAGCCTTTCCTGAGATCCATGGCAACGGCTCCGCGGGAGCACTGACTCAGGCCGGAGCCCGCCTAGCGTCCCCAGGAGCTCACAAAGGGGTGGCACTTATGTAGGAGAAAGGGGAGGGGACAGGGACGCCCCCAGCGGGGGGGGCGTGGCTGGGGGGCGCAGAGGACACGGCATCGGGACGCTGACTCTCCACGGCGTGTTTCATGCTCAGTCCTGGGCTCCTCCGTCCAGGCGTCACCGTGTCTGCTTCCCCGTCCCCTTTGCAGGCAGCTCTGTGGGACACACGGTGGCTTTCTGCCCCGAGCGGAGGTCATTTGTCCCGTGTTAACGCCCACAGGGCGGAGGCATCCAAGTACGAGGCAGGTCCTCGGGGCCGGTGGCTCGGGCCCCCACCTTTCGGATCATTTCCTGCTTCTTCTCGTCTCACAGGCTAACGCGGGGGGGGTGGTCCGCACGGAATCCCCGGGGTGCACGATGCACGGTGTCCCCGGTCCGGGGGCTCTGTTCGTACTGCTGTTTACAAGTGCGTATTTCCGAAACTGCGCCCCCTGCAGCATGCGGGGAGGGAAGAGTCCTCGGACCTCGGTCCCGGGAGCGGGCCAGCGGGGGGCGTGTGGGAGGACGCCCCCTACCGGTTCCCCTCTCCCAGCTGTCGGCCCTGCACGGCGGCTTCCTGTCTCGCGACTCCCCCTGCTCTGCTCACTCTGCGCCATGTGGGTCCTTCTGTGTGTGCGCCTTCCTCCAGGGGGCGCCGTGGTTTCACGTTGTGGGCACCAGGGCGGGGGCGGGGGTGAGGAGGGGGGCTCACCTGGTACAGAGGAATGTCAGGATGGAGACGAGTAGAACCACCGCCCCCACCAGCAGCCCCACCAGGGCCACGGCGGTGCCGCTGACCTCCGGCTCCGGGTGGCCTGCTGCGGGGCAGAGAGAGGAGCAGGCGGTCAGAACGCACTAGATCTCAGGGGCGGCCCATCAGCCCCCTCTCCCCACGGCGGGATCAGACGCTGAGGTGAGATTCTGGTCCGGGGGAAGCAGGCCTGGACCCAGGCGGACAGGACTTCCAGACGCCAGGACCCAAGGGAGCTGGGAACACAGGTAGTGACAAATCTGTCTTTTCTCACGTGCTGCGTCCACCCCGCCTCACTAAGTCCCCGTTTTCCCCACGCCCTGCTGACCAGACAGAGCTCACTGGGTACCTTTCCATGAGGGCACAACCCCACGTGATGCTTTCCTTCTCAGCGGTGGGTGTTTACTTTCAACACTGCTTTGACATAGCCAAAGGAATGAATGTGTAACTGTGAAATGTGAAGGCTGGGACACAGTCTCTGTGTGTGTGTGTGTGTGTGTGTGTGTGTGTGTAGCTTGGACCGCTTCTTGACCCACGCAGCTGTTGCCTAGAAGGAAGGAGGCTCCCATGGGGATTGGACAGCTCCTCTTGGGTGGGCGGGTGGGTGGGGTTGTTGAATGGGGTGTGCCAAAGGCAGTAGTCTGGGCAGCTATTTTTTTTGCCTCCAGCAGGTGTCTACACAGAACTCATGCCCCGTCGGCCCCTGAACGGATCCCGAGGGACGGCTCTCCCAGAGCCACGGTGCACCCTTTGCACTTCTGTCACTGCAGGCCACCCCTTTTGGGACAGCCCCGCCTGCTGCCCCAGAGGGGGAGGGCAGGACGGGGCACCCCGCGGCACCCGCAGAGCAGGGAGGCCTGAGGGAGGGGGAGCCCGGCAGCCGACCCTTGGGCCTGGCGTCTGCAGCTGGGGGCGGCCGGCAGCTGGGGCCTTGGAGACAGGTCCCAGCGCGGCGGATGCCAAAGTGACAAAGACGGGCTTGTGCCCCTGTGGCTGAGTCTGGGAGGGACCTCGTTGTTGGGGGACCCCACAAACATAGGAGGGGGTGCAGGGCAGGCTGTAGAAGGTGTGTTTGTACAGAGAGAGGCCGCAAGAGAGGCCTGGAGCCCCCCGGAGCTGGAAGAGGCCGGAGGGACCCTCTCTGGAGCCTGTGGAGGGAGCACAGCGGCCCTGGGACCCTTGGGTGCCCTCAGATGCCCAATCTCCGGGACAGAAAAGGGGAGGGATGCAGCACCCAGCCCCGGTGGGCTCTCACCGAAAGGCACCGTGGCGCTCCACTCGCTCCACATGGCGCTGGTCAGCGTCCTCCCTCTCAGGCGGACGGAGCGCCCGCCTCTCACGGCTGCGTAGGGCACCACGTACACATTCTCCTCCTGTCTGCACTGGGACACCTTCCAAATAAGAAAAGCAAGTCTGCGGCGACCAGCAGGGGTGAGGAACCTGAATGGGGAGGGGGCAGGAGCCAGAGCAAGTCAGCCACACCCCAAAGGACCCCTGACGGCCTTGCTCCACCCAGACCTGCCCCCGCCCCCGGCCGTCTGTCCTGCCTGCTGTGTGCCCTGTCGCAGGCCCCAAGGGGAGGGACGTGAGGGGCCCCCTGCGTGTCTGGGTCTCACAGCCATCCCCCTGTTGGGTCCACATTGGGGCCAGTCCCCTGCACCATCGGAGCAGGTCCGGTTACACGGAAAGGGGGATGAGAGCCATGCCGGCACCGTTTCGGCGGCACAGCAGAAGCCGGAGTCACTGCTTCCATGTCTCGTAGCGATTCTACCCAGTGTCCTCGGAGGTCTGGCCCAGCCCGGAGGGGGGCGGGGCCGAGCAGGACAGACAGACGGAGTTCCTGGCCTTCCACAGGTGGTGATGTGTCCCCAAAGCCCAGCCAGGGGGCGGGTGGACGCTGACCGCGGTCTGCGGAGCCCTGAACGCTGTGGACACGCTGCAGGCTGCTCCTCTCAGCTCCGAGAACTGAGTGTGTTTCTCTGGCACCTGCGCCGTGTGTCTGCTCCCAGACGGTGGCTTCTATCAGCAGCTCTGTTCAGACGCAGCGGGTCCCGGGCTGCCTCCCGCCCTACTCACGACGGCCCCCTGGGCAGCTGCCCGAGGGCGGCCGTGAACGCAGACAGCTGCTGGCCACACCAGGGAGATGGAGTGGGAGACGGAGCACCCCGGGCTATGGAGGGTCAGGTGTGATGGTTGGGTGACACCAGCCGACCGTGCTGAGTCCGGTGCACAGGGCAGGGGACACCCGTAGGGTCCCATATGGTGAGCCAGGGAGCACCCAGTAGGGGGCTGTGCTCCCTCCACAGGCTGCAGGGGGGGTCCTTCCCGTCTCTTCCAGCTCCTGGGGCTGGTCGCCGCGTCCTTCCCGTCTCTGCCTCCGTCTCCACGTGGCTTCTCCTCCGGGTCTGCGTCTCCTCTTCTGTCCCTTCTCAGGACACGGTCACTGCACGCAGGGCCACCCTGACCCAGGACCACCTCCTCTCAGACCCTTCACTGATGCCACCTGCAAACACCCTGTGCGCAGATGAGGTCCCATCCTGAGGTGCCAGGCGGGCGTGAGTTTGCGGTGCACACGGTTCACGTTGCCACAACTCGAACCGGAAATGCTGGAGGGGCCGCCTGAGCCAGCAGCGGGAAGAATACAGCTTCTCCCTCCAAACCCGAACCCCGGTGAGCCCGGAGGGGCTGGCTGGACCCCCACAGCCGGGCCGAGGGACCCGCGTAGGGAGGGCTGGACTGTGAGGGCTGATGGCCACGGCATGGACACCACACAGAATAAAACAGATACTTACGGGGTCTTCCTGGGACGAGGTGCCCTGGGGAAGCAGATGAGGGGAGATATGGTGAGGGGCTGTGTTTGCAATACTGGGTTCCAGCGCAGCCCCCTCCCCCAGAACCCCAGAACTGGCACAAACCATCTTCGTAGCTGAAACTATTACAGATTCAGCAGAGGCAGGAAGAGGTTTTGGGGGGAGCTGCCCTTATCCGGCTGACAGCGGGAAACACAGGGGAATGAGGACTCTCGAACTCCTCCTGTGGGGTCCGTTCCCTCCGGGGGAGGAAAGTGAGGGAATCGGCCCCAAATCGCATCTCCTGGGGAGTTTGACGGCCACAGGAAATCAGAAAAAAGGTCACTCATTCCCTGCACAAACAAACATATGCCCCATTTTCTTGCCTCTCATTTGCCTTTGCTAAAAAAATAAAAATAAAAAAAATAAATACGTGCTTTCCTCCCATAGAAACGGACCCCCTCCCTTCCCTTTGTCCCACGAAGGTGAGTGGACAAGCCCCTGACGTTAGCCGTTTGAGGACCCCATTGTTGTGTGTGCTGCCAAATGCACAGAGGGCTGTGCCGATGCAGGGGGATGCCTGGGGCAACCTGGGAGCAGGTGCGTGCCCACAGAACCAAGGAGGCTCACCTGTGGGAAGCCACCTGCTGAGGTCTCTCGTCTAAAGTCACCTGTGATTTTTCTACCTGGCTGAGGTCGCCTCTGAGTGTCCTGACATGCATGAGGTCACCGGTGTGGGCAGGCCACGTCCAGGGCCCAGACTTCGATCCCAGAACAAGCCAGACCTCTGGGAAGAGTGTCCGTTCATCAGGGACACAACCGCACCACCGTGCAAACGAGCGAACGACTCCCAAGTGCATTTGACAGAAGAAGAAGGACAGTGCTACGTGGACAACCACGACACGCGGCACACAGGATGCAAGGAAACTGGAATACGTAGAAACACGGCCTGCGTTCAGGGGTCCGAAGACTTGGTCTGGCTAGGGTGACCACATTCCCCAGTTGCTGCCTAGATGCAGTGGCCTCTCTTTCAAAATTACAACGGCTGTTTTTGTTTGTTTGTTTGTTTGTTTGTTTGTTCGTTTGGCACAATGGCACCTGCACTCCCCACAATTCACGTGGAGGGGCCAAGACCCCTGAGCAACCCACACCATCTTCACCCTTGAAGTCGTCACACTTCCTGGCCTCCACGAGCACCGCAAAGCGACGGGAATCCAAACGGGGCCCAGACAGACACACACACGGACAGAAGAGAAGAGAGAGCCCAGAATGGACCCCGCGTGGGCGGCCGGATGGTGGTGGACAAGGCCGCCCAGAGCACTCCAGGCCGAAAGGTAACAACCTTTGGGACAAATGGTTTGGGCACAACCAGGTGTCTGCCCACAGAGGAACCGCGGGGGGCCTCAGCCTCCCACCAAACAGAGGCATTCTCTCTCCGTGCATTACAGACATCAACGTGAATGCCAGACGGTAGAACTCGTAGACCAGAGCGCGGCTACGGCCGCACCGCGGGCCACGCCAGGTGGTTTCGGAGCTCACGCCCCAGGAGCTCAAGAAGGAGAAGAGAAAGCAGTAGCTGGACTTTACCAGAAAGTAGCAGGTGGCACTTGGAGGGCGCAGAGAGGGTGCAGGGCTCAGCAGAACAACGTAGTGGAGTGGCCGGGAGATCCCGTCAGTGAGGATGTAACCCCAGAAGGGAGCAAGGGAGGACCCCCCCGGCCCACGGCCCCGGCCCACGGCCCCGGCCCTCACCGCCACTTGGATGTCCACTTCATAGCACAGGCTGTTCCTGGGAAAGTCGAATCGCATCTTGGGGTTGTCCCACTGGATGATGTGGTGGGACCCATTGTAGTCGACCGTCAGGTTGGCGGGGGGGTTCAGCTTCTCTAGGAAAAAGCAGAAGCCACAAACGGCATGTCAACGACGGATACACACGTCCAGGGGATGAGACGCCCTGGGGCGCGCGTCTGACGGGTCCCTGGTCCTGCTTTACGTTTCTTGCGTAAAAGGGGAAGACTGATATCTTGGGGAACAAGATGATAAGGTCAGCTGAGCCCCTCGGGGAGTCCCCTTCGTGGTGTGAGGAACCCCTGCAGGCCAGACCCCCCCTGCGCCCCGCCACAGCCTCCGTGTCTCCCAGTGGCTGGAGCAGCACCTGGAGATGCCAACAGGTGAGCGTCTCCTCCTTTTCCTCCTCTCGTCTCTTCACCAACAACCTCAGGGGGCCACTCAGCCACTGCCTACGTCAGGCCCACCAAAGGGGCTGACTTCTTGTCATCCCGAGCTCATCCCCGTGCCCAGCTAAGGAACACCCACCCCTCCCAAGCCATGCACCAGATGGTCAGTCTGCAAACAAATACCATGCACTTGGGGCTTCTGCCAGAAGGAGAGCTTCCAGAAAAATGTGTTTATTCAGCCAGGCGTGCAAATAAAACTCTGACACACCCTCGCCAAAGCGCACATTTGGAGGGTCCCCAATGACTCACGGAGCAGGTGGTGCCTTGCTTATGAGTTCACCAATAATCTTGTGTATTCACAGATTCGACACCAGCCACGTTGCCTGCTCCCGAAATCTCCTTGGTCACCCCCAGGCCATGACTCCGGGCAAGACTGACAGCCATCACAAGGGTGGGAAGTGGGCACCAAGATACATCGGCGTACCTTCCCACCAAGGTGGAAGTATAGGTAGATACGCTGTGCCTCCTCGCACAGCCAAAAGAGGGATGGTGGCAAATTTAAAAACAAAAGCCAACCAGAACCGCCAGAAAATCAAACTGTATGGAAGCCCAACAACCTAGGAGTGAAAGAAGAAACATTCACCCAGACTGGTAGGAGAGGCAGAGACAGGCAGCCAGGTGGACAGGATTCATGGCAAGGCAGCAGCTGGCGGACTGGGCAAGGTGGTGCCTGGAAGAGCGGGCGGTCCCACACTCGCGTGAGGATAAACCGGGAGGAACAACTGGGGAGCGAGACAGACCACGCAACCCAGGGCCCCAGCGCGGGGAAATAAAGCCTCAAACTGCTGACTGTGGGGGTTGGGGTGGTGGGAGAGACTCCCAGCCTCACAGGAGAGTTCACTGGGGAGACCCACAGGGCCCTAGAATGTACACAAACCCACCCACCCGGGAATCAGCACCAGAAGGGCCCAGTTTGCTTGTGGGTAGCGGGGGAAGGGACTGAAAGCTGGCAGAGAGCGGAGCAAGCGGCATTGTTCCCTCTCAGACCCCGCCCCCCACAACGCAGCTATGTGGGTTGCCCTGCCCTGGTGAATACCTAAGCCTCTGCCCCTTATACGTAACCAGCATGCCGAGACGAAGAAACACGGCCCAAATGAAAGAACAGATCAAAGCTCCAAAAGTAGAACGAAATGATGAGGAGGTAGCCAACCTGTCAGACGCCAGGTTCAAAGCACTGGTCATCAGGATGCTCACAGAAATGCTTGAGTACGGTCACAAAATAGAGGAAAACCTGAAGGGAAATGTACAGGGAACCAACAGTGATGGGAAGGAAACCAGGACTCAAATCAGTGGTTTGGACCAGAAGGAAGCATTGAAGAAACAAACATTCAAAAAAATGAGGAGAGGCTTAGGAACCTGTGGGACACCTTTAAATGTTCCAACGTCCAAATCATGGGGGTGCCAGAAGGGGAAGAGGAAGAGCAAGAAGTTGAAAACTTATTTGAAAAACATAATGAAGGAGAACTTCCCCAATCTGGCAAAGGAAATAGACTTCCAGGAAGTCCAGGAAGCTCAGAGAGGCCCAAAGAAGTTGGACCCAAGGAGGAACACACCAAGGCACATCATCGTTACATTAGCCAAGGTAAAAATGAAGGAGAAAATTCTAGAAGCAGCAAGAGATAAGGGGACAGTCACCTACAATGGAGTTCCCATCAGACTGTCAGCTGATTTCTCAAAAGAGGCCTTGCAGGCAAGAAGGGGCTGGAGAGAAGTATTCCAAGTCATGAAAGGTGAGGACCTGCACCCAAGGTGACTCTATCCAGCAAAGCTCTCATTCAGAGCGGAAGGGCAGATAAAGTGCCTCCCAGATAAGGTCAAGTTCAAGGAGTTCACCATCACCAGGCCCTTATTATAGGAAGTGGTAAAGGGGTTTATCTAAGAAAAAGAAGAAGATCGGAAATAGGAACAGTGCAAGGACAACACACTCACAACTATCAACAACTGAACCTAAAACCCAAAACCAAACGAAGCAAACAGCTAGAACAGGAACAGAATCACAGAGATGGAGATCCCATGGAGGGTTATCAGTGAGGGAGGGGGAGGGGGGAGCATGGGGGGAAAGGTACAGGGAATAAGAAGCACAAATGGCAGGTACAAAACAGACAGGGGGAGGGCAAGAACAGTATGGGAAATGGAGAAGCCAAAGAACTCACATGTACGACCCATGGACATGAACTAAGGTTGGCAGGGATGGTGGGAGGGTGGGTACAGGGTAGACGGGAATCAAGGGGAGAAAAAAAATGGGACAACTGTAATAGCATAGTCCCTAAAATATGTTTTAAACACTTTAAAAAACAGACTCTCTCCTAAGGCAGAGAAAAGATAAATCGGCCCAAAGGACCTTATTAAAATAATCCCTGCGTCCCACCGGAAACCCCATGTAGGGACCACTTCCGGACGCCCAGACCAACTGTGGTTTTCCACTCACTCCCCCCCCCCCATTTCTTGTTCTCGGTTAAAACGGTAGGTAAGTGCTTTTATCAAACTGCTTTTTTTTTGGGGGGGGGGTTCATTTTATTTCCATAAAGCAGTCCCAGGCATGTAAAAAGTAAAAATTCCATTTAAAACGTATGTTTTTTTATTCAATAATTTTTTTAAGATTCTATCCATTTATTTTCAGAGAGGGAAGGGAGGGGGAGAGAGAGAGAGAGAGAGAGAGAGAGAGAGACATCCGTGTGTGGTTGCTGGGGGCCGTGGCCTGCAACCCAGGCATGTGCCCTGACTGGGAATCGAACCTGCGATGCTTTGGTTCGCAGCCCGCGCTCCATCCACTGAGCTCCGCCAGCCAGGGCTAAAACCTATGTTTTTCACGTAGCATGTGTGAGTCGCTTCCACACCCCCCAGTCTGAGAACCTCAGGGGGGAGAGAAAAGTTTTCTCCTTCCCCTGCACTCCCCAAGCACAGGACGACTGTGGTGTGCCTCCAAGAAGATGGGTGTCTGGTAAGCTTTGCGAAGGTTTAAAGGACAGAGCCCTGGGCCCTGGGCCCCAAGTTCAAGGTGAATGCAGCAGCCGTATATCCAGGAGGGTGCCTTCCAACACGAACACACATAGAACGGACTGATAGGTGGACCCACTGATGGACATGCTGTGGCCGGAGAACCACCATCCTTGTATTTTCCATAGACGATGACTTAGCATTTGCTCACTCGGTGTTTTGGGAAGTTTCTAGAACATCTTCGCCACCCACATCGGAAAGCTCTTTCACGCAGGACAGCCGCATGCATGCACCTGTTCCGATGCCCACCGCGCCGGCGCAGGTGTGAGCACCCCACCTCCCGCTCAGCGTGTTTTCCAGGCCCCCTTTCTCGACCCCAGGATGTCGCAGAGGCCGGCCTGCGCCCCGGCAAAGTGCTGGCACCAACCGCGTGCAGAGACAGAAGATACCTCCGCCGCGGGGTGGGGAGGTGGGGGGTGGTGGGGGGAAACCGCCTCACCCATTTGAATGGCTCTGAACGGCGGGAAGTCCACGAACTGCACCTCCGTCTCTGGGCTGGTTCCGTTCAGCAGGAAAACGTACGAGTCCGTCAGCCGCGGCTCTGGGAGAGCGTCGAAATGGCAGCCCACGCGCGTCCCCGCGCCGTCCAGGATGTAGTGGGGACATTCGATTTCTTCCTCCTCCCTGTAATGTCCGAAACACATCCGGGGGGCGGCAGAGTGGGCGTCGTTTTTGCAGACGCAGCACCCCTTACCTCCGCGCCCCCAGCCCCAGAAAAACCCCCGAAAAAGGGACGAGAAAGGGGAAGGGATTTCGTCACTGAATACGCATGGACACCTAAGGGGATCTACGTGCCAGGTCACTGCAAATTGCTGGCCAAAGCAGGAAGGAAGGCCACCTTTTCAGACAGCGGGGGCGGAGACACCCCCTCGCAGCTCCCTCCTCGGGCGCGCCGCCTGCTTCCACGACCCGCGAGGACCGAAGAGGGAGCATTTTGCAGGCAGGACAGAGCGGAAGCTGAGTGGTACCCCTTTTTCCCTTTGGTGTTCTGTCTCTGTCCCTTTGCTCTGTGGACACGTCAGGCCCTGACAGCAAGAGCCCGGGGTTGAGGGGACCCGCCAGAGGCTTCTGCAGCTTGTGAGTTTGGGTGGGGCGGGGTCCCCGGAGAGGTGCCAGACGCTGGGGCAGGCCCTCGCGGCTCACCGGCACGCCCAGCAGTGCAGCTGGTACTGGACGTCGGCGGGCGCGGCGGGGCCGGGCGCCCAGCTGCAGTTCAGGAGCTGCACGTTGTAGATGACGCACGAGAAGTTCACGGCCCCGGACCCTTCCCGGCCTGGGAGGACAACGGAACGCTTCAGCGAGGGCGCCCCCCCGTCCCCCGACATCCGCGGCCCCTCCGCGGGGAGGTCACCGCCGCGCGCGCGCGCTGCTGGACAAGGCGGCGGGGACTGCAGCGAGGCGCCCTCACCTGCGTTCTGGAAGTGCAGCGCGCAGCGGAAGGCGGCGCCGCCCGCGGTCCCGCGCACGGTCAGGAAGGCGCCCCGGTGCAGCACCGCGTTGGGGAAGTGGCAGGAGTACGCGTCGTGGTCTGCAGGCTGCGAGAGGCAAGGTGAGGGGCAGGGGTGCCGCCCGCGCCGCGCGCTCCCGCGGACCTGCTTCCGTCCCGGGAGACCCCCCCCCCCCCGGGGATGTGGCGGGACCCGCCGCGACTCTGGGTCCTCACGAGTTTTGTAGGAGGGCCTCCGTGTGCCTTTGATGGCAACTTGAATGTCATTAACAATTGCGCATATATTTTTATTACATATGCGACAATAAAATATGTATTACTTTAAACAATATGAATAAAATAATATATTTTAAAAACATATTTTAAACATATATATTAAATAACATACAATATTTTAAATATATATTATTGTATTCATTTAGCTAACTAAATAAAATATACTTATTAAAATCTATTTTAAAACAATAGATGCTATTTATTTTAAACAAATATATTTATAACATAATATAAATGTATTTTAAGGTAATATATTTTAAATATAATTATTATTTTACAATCTATTTTAAAATGTATTATTTATAATGCATTATATTTAAAATAGATTTAAAAATAATATATTATAAAATATTTTAAAATATATTTAACATAATATATTTTTAAAAAATGTTGTTTTACTTATTTATTAAATTTTATTTAATGAATAAATAAAATACATTTATTAAAATAATACACAATAAAATTACATGTATTTATCAGTGACTTATATATAAATATATACATAAAGTCATACATATTTATATATAAATATATATTAGATATTTTTGTTATGATATAAATAATGAAAAGGGGAGCAGAAAATTATATGCGTTCTCGCTCCTCCATCAGCCTCTATCCCTTTAATGTGCAGGCCCCTGGGACAGCACCTGACAGGGGTCGGCACGGCCTTCCCCCCTCACCCCCTCTGACCTGCAAGGCCCCACCTGCTGGCCACACCCCCTTGGGGTTCCGGGCTTCCGCACTGGGATCCGGTGGGGCGGGTGGGCAGTGTTCCGCCTACCGCGGCTGCACCTCGGGGCGGAGCTCCACCCAGCACCTCGGCTCGCTCCCCCAGTGTCCCCGCTCGACGACCCCCCAGCGGAGCCAGCGCTGTGGAGGCACGGGCTGTCTGGAGCTCACCTGCCTTCTCCCCCCACCGCCCCACCCCCCACCCCCACCAGGTGCCCGAGTTGACCTGGGTGCACACGGTGTAAGGACCAACGCCCAGCCTCTGCCTCGGCCCCGCAACTCAGCTGGGGCGGGCTCATCTCTGAACAGCGACCCCAGGAGGCCCCAAGCCACCTCCCTTGCCCATGTCCCGGAGAGAGAGGTAGCCCTGTAGTGGCTGTCACCTGCCTCCTCCTGGTACAGCCCCCCCCTTGGGTCATAAAGACCCTGGCAGCTCTACCCCGAGAAGGGGAAAGCAGTGGGTGGGGTGTCCCCACTCAGCTACAGCAAAGGTCCAACCTCCCTGTTCGCCTTGGCTGTCTCTCTCGGCCAAAAGCCCGTGACGCACAGAGTGTCTCGTGGGGACAGGTAAATCAATGCACAGAGAGACTGCGGCAGGACCGTGTGCAGAACAGGAACGCTGACCCCCCCCCCCCCCCCACCTGCGGAGCCCGGCGCAGGAAACAGGAAGCAGATGGCACCCTCTCCCGAGAGCCAGGGGGCTCAGCAAACGCTTTTGCAACCACCCGGCAGAGCTTGATGAACAGTGAGGAATTTCCTTAGTGGTGTGCCCACTTCCAGCAGAGCAAAAAAACAAAGACAAAAACAACAACAAAACCCATAGACACCCCTCACCAGCCACAGGGACACCCCCCACTTACAGTCAGCTGCTGACATCTGCTCCGGACCCCCTCCTCCTCCCCTGGGGCAAAGGGCAAGGGGGCAGAATGCCACCCCCCCTACCCCAGCGGGGCAGAGACGCGTCTCAGCCGGGGGCAACGGGCACCCAGCAGAGGCAGAAACACAGTCTCCCTGGAGGTGTCCTCCCTGGATCCCGCAGAAGCGGACACGGCTGAGACACAAGGTCGGCCGCGGAGCGCCTCCCGGGGACAGTTGGCGACCACCAGGAAGGACACGCAAACCCAGCCCCGAGAAGGGGCTGCGTGCGCGCACCCGCGGCAGACCCCTCGTCTGCTGTTGCCCATCGGCCTTCCCACAGGTCGCTGCCCCCGGGAGGGGGGGGACACACCAAACACATCTCCCCCCCTTGTCTTCCCACACAGCCCCTTGTTGCAAACGGTACGTCCGGTGTTCGTCTAACAGCCCCTCTTCTTTCCACGACGCCTCTGCGCTCCGGGTCAAATTTTTAACGCCGTGTGAAATCTGTGCGCCGTTTTCCCGCCGTTTTCCCGTCTCTTGCGGGTCCAATTTGCAGGCCCCCGCGCCCCGCGCCTGCCAGTGTGGGCCAGGGTGTTTGTCCTCACCGCCACCACTAGGGGGCTTCTGCGCTCCACGGCCCGAGGCTCCGTGGCCACCGGGGTCACCCCGGCCGACCTCTGCGCGCTCTCCTTTCCGTGGTGTACGTGTATTTCCAAAGGCCCCGCCCGCTAAAGTAACAACTGAGTCTGTTTTCTTTGCCTTGCAGCTGGGGAGAGGGGTTTTCCGGGTTGCGAGGAGGTTTTGTCGCTAATTGTATTTTTTTCTATACGCGCTCGGGGATGGTTCTGGAATGGGCCGCATCAGACCCCTTGGCGCAGGGACAGCAGGGGACCCGTCGTCCTGGGGACGCAGAGAGTCCCCGTGGCCTGCACTCAGGGGGCTGCTCTCCCGCTGACCTTCTGGAACAAGGTTCTGGAGGCAGCCAGGGGGGCGCCGAAAAACCAGACCCCCCCCCCCGTGCCTCTGGCAGAGGTGTGTGTGTCCCTTTCAAAGCCGATGAACGGACTCAAAATAGAATACGTACAAAATGATTCTGCCCTGGAAACAAAGAGGACATTTTTTTTTCCTATCGATAGAAAGAAAACAGTTGCTATTTCTACAGAAACCCCTTGTCGCAGAAAGAATGTGGTTCAGAAAAAAAAACAAAAACAAAACAAAAAAGAAACAAAGCAAAAACAATGGCATGAAAATTCTAAGACAAACAAAAAAAAAACACACCAAAATTTTGAAACACGGCAGGGGCGACAGGAGGCACAGCTCAGAGGCAGCCGCTGTCCCAGCAACAGTGGCAGCTCCCCAGGTGACCAAGCATTCCTTAGAACCGCCGGGCAGGGAAACGTAGGGTTTGCGCGCTAATCCGCCCGTTTGCGGGGGGGGGGGCGGGGGGGGGGGCCTTGAACCACCCACAGCGGCCGCTGAGGGGAACCGCTGCTGAGTTTTGGACGTGGAAGAGTTTTCACAGAAGGTTCGAGAGAGCCGGGCGCGTGCCTGGGGAAGGTTGCGCAACCCGCGCCAGCGGTGCGTCGGGAGCTGCGTCCAGTTCCGACGCAGGACATTAAATTGTCCCTGTTTCCAGGATGGCAAGGACCTAACCGCCTTCTTCTCCTGCATTTCCGCCAGGAAACGGGCCGGGCGACAGCGGCGTGGTCTCCCCGAGAAGCTCGTTTATCGCCTTAAAAGCTGGGGGGACTCCGGACAGTCGTGCACCCCACGAATGCGCCCTCGGGGGGGGCAGGAAGTCCCCTGAGCAAAGGGGACTGGCTCCTGCCTGCCCGCTTCTGTGAGAGTTTTGCTTGCAGCCGTAGTTCCCAGGCGTCTGGAAAGGGGCTCGTTGTACTTGACCTTTCGATCGAGACCGTCACGTGCGCGCCAAGGGCTGCGGCCCGCTGACCGTTGCAAAGAGGACATTGTTTCTGTTTCGCTGTGTCTGCATCAGGCCGCGCCCGACGCACCCGTCACACCCTGGTTTCCTGCTTATTCTACGGTAACACGGTCTGCTGCTCCGGCAGGAGATTTTTTGTACTTGTATTTTGTTCTGTGCTTGGACGTTTCAGGGGGGAAAAATTAATGGTTTTACTGTGGTCGATGAGAGCGTAAAGTTGGCCATTGTCCCCTGCGGGAAGTGTGCAGCTGGGTGGCATCATGGACATTCAAAATGTGGTGTTGCCCTGTGGGTGATTTGGACATTGTCACCAGCCCCCCCCCCTCCAAGCCTCCCACAGGTTATGGTGACAAAGGGCAGCCAAGGGGGTGGGCACTCACTACGGGTGCCTCTGCCTCCTGGGCCTGGTGACCAGAGTGGTGATATGCATTCAGATTTCTTCCAAAGCAACAGACACCTCGGTGGCATCAACATATATTGTGTATGTGCCAAATCCGGGGTGGGGGGGGGTGGGGGGTGGGGGGGTGGGGGACAACAGCCCTGGCTGCTGTGGCTCAGTGGATTGCCTGCCGGCCTGCAAACCAAAGGGTCACCAGTTCGATTCCCAGTCAGGGCACATGCCTGGGTGGCGGGCCAGGTCCCCAGTAGGGGGCGCGCGAGAGGCAACCACACATTTGTGTTTCTTTTCCTCTCTTTCTTTCTCCCTTCCCCTCTAAAAACAAAAAAGTAAGTAAACTCTTAAAAAACAAAAACAAAACCAAAACAAAGCCACAAGCCAAGGCAGTGCAGCCGTCAGTCAGTAACTTTGGGTGGTTTCAGCACCTGCCTTGAACACCAAACTCTGAGGGCGCTCAAGGCCTTTGTGTACAATGTAACGGTCTTGGCACACAGCCTACGGGCTTCCTCCCAGAGCCTTCCCATCTTGTCTACATTACTTGCAACACTGGACCCAGCCTCAACGGGGTAAAAACTTGCTACACTGTATCCTTTCCGGAGCAGACAGGAAAAAGAGCACGGTTCACCCACCCAGCCACCTTAGACCTGAGCAGCCAGCAACATTGTAACATTTGCCAACCCCAGGGGCAGCAGTGGAACGTGGATGTTTCCAACATTTCCCATCCGGGTGGGCAACTGTAGATTTGTAACAAGATACAGAAGCCTCAAGGGGGGCTCCTGGAATTCTTCAATGGATGGAAAGAGAGAGAACTCCTCAATAAATCCAAATCGTGTACGCATAAAAAGACGCCTGTCGGCCCCACAGGTGTCCACGGCCCTTGTTGTTGACGGCCACGGGCCACACCATTTCTAACAAGTTTCCAGACCTGCCTTCTTTCCAAGAAAAGTCCCAAAGGCGTCCCTTTGGGGAGGAAGCGTCATAAAAAGATTCTAAAATGTATCACGAGACTCCAAGGAGCACTAGACTCCAATGGCTATTTTTTTTTTTTGGACCACTTTTATCCAGCACATCTGGGCCGGAAGGGAAGTCCTGGCCCCACACATGGGACCTGCTTCCTCAGCCCACTCGCAGCGACCTCGGGGTGGGGGGGGGCTGTCCTGCTTGGGTCCCATCCACCAGATGATCAGCCCCAGAGCCCCCATCCGCTCCCCCTCACCTGTCTCTTCCCCCGCTGGCTTGCTGCCCTTTGTTAAAACCTCCCGTCCAGAAGCTCCCGAGTCCATCCACTCCTTTACACGTTTAACTTGCTGCCCTACGCAAACATCAAACACAGGCGCAAAAAGGTATCCTTGTTCTCATTTCTCCCCCCGCATTTAATGTGCAGGCCCCTTGTCACGGAACCTAGCAGACAGACGAAATGTTTCTTTCCTCTTCTACAAGAGTCACACTAGGGGGGATTGGGACCAGGGACAGGACCGAGGAAGCATTTCAGGGAGATTCGAGATTTACGAGGAGCGAAGCCGTTAGTTAGGCGGGATTGCCGAGAACTCACCTCAGGGGTCTGCCTGGTGGAGGAGTTGGGCGGGGTGTCCATTTGGCACTCCTGCTCCGTGACGTTTGTGCGGTAACTCCAGGTCAACAGTTTTTTCCGGGGATCCAGCTTCATGTTTATAACCGGAGATTGGTTTTCCTCGGCTGCAAATGAAAACAGAACAAAACAAAACAGTTTCAGAGTAAGGCACCCCTCAGGGCACGTAATGACAGCAGAAGGGGGGCATTTTCAAAGCGCCAGGAATGGATTGTTATGTTTTTTTGTTGGTGTTTTCTTTATTGAGGCCACGGTCTGAGAAGACACCATGGCCCGTGTTCGAGTGAGCAATTCAGCAAGTTATAAGCACGCGGAAGGTTCTCAAAAGCACTTGTAAGCAGAGAAGGCAAAGAATACCTCGGTGGGGTGCCTCTTTACCCCCAGGATGCTAGCCCTGATGACAACCATTGTAACAAACGGGAAATCAGTCTTGGGCCCCGTGTGGAGGAGTTGGAACTGGCTGTGCATTGTTGGTGGGGATATGAAGTGAGGTATTACTGGGCTCACTTGGTATTTGTGTGTGTGTGTGTGGGGGGGGGTGAGGTTATGTTTATCCAGCCTATACATTGCGATGCATAGATTAATGCACACTGAGACTTCTCTTTACACTTTTAACGGAGACATCATGGTCATGCAACATTGCATCCCTGTCAGATGCACCACATCTTGGTTCGATGGGTGTGTGTATGTGTGTGTGTGTGTTTTTTTTGGGGGGGGGTGTATACACCTGTGTGCAGAAGCGGTCCCAGAGTCTAGTAACATCTGTCGCCTCACAGAGTTGCAGAACCTTTTTTTTTTCGGAGGATGAGGACTTTGAACATCTACCGTCTTAGCACGTTGTAAACATGCAGTGCAACGTGGTCACTGTGCTGTATTAGCTGTATGCCCCACCCCCAGGACATATTTTATTGGGGAGCTGTGTACCTTTTGTCCCCCGACACCCACTTCCCCCGAGGTCTGCTGTTAAGTGGGCAGGTTCCCTTCCGGGCATTCGTCCCCTGTGAGCTGGGGTCCCAGGTGGAGGAGGGCATGGGCCACAAAAGGGTTTTCAAAGGCAAATACAGTCACGACTATGGCCGGTGCCAGGTGGGTGCTGGAAATATCGGGGTGGGGGAGATGTACTTTGTACATCAGTGGGTAATCTCTATGCTGTGTGCTGCCTGAAACTAACACACCGTAATATGGAACATCGGCTCTAGTTGAAAAATAAAATTAAAACATAGACAAAATTGAGGATCAAATAAAAAAATACTAAAAAAAAAATGATGTTTGATTCTCCCCGTGGAAAAGTTGGGACGAGACTGTCCCCACCTTCTCTCTTTTTCTCAGAGTTTCTCTCTGTGTCCTTTCGAAATGGACACGACTTTTGCAAATGGCTCGATGCACCTGTGGGCAGGTGCAGGGAGCACCTGTTGGGGGGTCCCAGGACGCCCATCTCCTGCGAGGAAAAGCGTCTGACTTCAGCGGCCCCCACCGCGCGCCCACCGCTGGGCATGCGCGGTTACAACCCGGGGGCCCGGCCCCGTGGCTGCGCGCTCCGTCAGTACGGAGACGGGTGTCTCCCTCCGCGGCCTCGGTCGACACCTTTTCCCACGTGGGCGGGAGACTGTGTTTCCTAACTGCCCCCCAGTCCGGGCGGCAGGTCTGACACCCCCGCTGCGTTGGCGGTTTGGGGTCCCTGGATTCTTCAGGAGGGAGGATAAGGCATCTCTGTGTGGAGGGATCTGCACAGGGAGGGATCGCGGGTCACGGCAGGTAGTCCCCGTTCAGGTGCGCGGAGAACTTGCCTGCACCTACCCGGGAGGGGGTCCGCACAGCGCGCTGAGCTCAGCGGCACCACCAGGAGGCTGGCGAACCCCAACAAGAGCGCCATCCCGGCGCCCCCAGCTGGACCTGCAGGCGCAGAGAAGAAACACCCTCGGTCAGAGATCAGACTGCAAGGGAGGCAGGGCCCCCACTGCTCAGCACACCCCCAGGTCGTTACAGGGCTCTTTGGGCTCCTGCCCCTGTGTGTCTGTCCCTAGCCCCACATCTCTGGCCACCGCTGCGACACACTCCTCTCCCCCATGCGCTCAGGACCCCAGAGTTTCAGCTGATCTTCTTGTATGTGGCGGCTGAAGAGTGGGAGCGGGGAGGCCGCCAGTGGGGAAAAAAGAAGGGAGATGTGATGAGGGTGCAGGGCCACAGCAGCCACTTTGTACTATGAGGCACCTCTGTCTCAGTCCAAGTCTGTCATTTTTGGGTCCTCACAAAGATCCAGGTGTTATACTAGGGGGGGAAACTATGGCCTAAGCAGGCCGCTGGCATCTGTATCCTTGTGGTGAGCAGTGTGGCCTGGAGGAGCTGGGGGCGGGCTGTGCTGCAGAAGGGGAGGGGAGGGCAGCCTTGTGAGGTGGGGCAGCCACCTGGAAGAAGCCACTGATAGGCCAGGTGCACTGGGAGCCCAGAGGCCCTCACCTGCAGGGAGCTCTGGGGGGACCTTGGTTCAGAGCGTCTTGGGGGAAGGGCTGCGCATGGCGTTTGCAGGGTGGGCAGGGCAGGAGGCAGCGGGCGGCGGTCAGAAACACCCGTGCCTTTCAACAGCAGAGGCTGAGAAAATCTTTCCAGCTTCAGTGATGGAAGGAATCATTTCATTCCTTTCAATGGATTTGTTCCCAAACGTAACTGCACGAATTAGTGAGGACTACATATAAAGCACTGGGGACGACTTTGGTGGTACACAGAGGTCACCAGGTGGGGGCGCTGCGGGCGACCTGGCTGAGGATGGGACACCTTGGCACAAAGGGCCCGGCCTGGCCAGGAGGCCACCAGCACCTCGGGGTTCACCGGTCCCCGGGGACATCAAATCTGTGCTGTTGGGGGACACAGGGCCCAAGCTCCTGCGACAAGAGACAAGTAGATCACCCCACCTGGCGCGGACAGGTAAGCCCGATTCTGCTCTGTGTCTCCCTAGCGAGCCAGAAGTCTTTCTGGACAGGACGGAACCCGGGAGAGGGCCAATCAGGGCGCGGATGCGTGGGAGGAAAAAACCTCCTCCCTCCAGCCTCTTCGGTTCTGCGCCGGGCGCCCGAAAATTAAACCAGTAAAAGTTGGACAGAAGAGCTAGCTTCCGTGCTGGGGCGCCCCCTCGCGTTCATGCATGCACACACCAAGGAGACGGCAGGACGTGGCCACAGGAGGGCGCCCTAGGCTGGTTTGAGTGTAAAACACAGAAAAATGGGTGTGAGAGCTTTGTTGTTGTTGGGGGGGCGCGGGGCGCGGGAGAAGGCCCTGTTCCCGGAGGGGCGGGGAGGAGGCCTCCGGAGGAAAGCGCGGGCTGTCTGTCGCCGTTGATAACGGTTTCAGGATGATACGATCTGTCTCAGAGCAGCCTCGCTCGGAGCTCAGACACGTCTTTACAAAGGAGTTTCTGTTCCCAAAGGTGGGGACACGCAGACCCTCCTTTCTGGTCGGGCTGCGGGAGGAGAGGAAGGGGGCTGGTTTCCTCTGGGCTTTTAGGTCAAGCTCGCCCAGGTTCCACAGATGTGTGTGTTTTGGGGTGCGTGTGGGTCCCTTGGGAGGCTGCGTGGGTGGCGGGCGAGGGAATGAGCTCTGGTCTCCGAGCCCTCGGGCTCCCCCCAGGGGGAGGGGGGCGTGCTGTAAGTGCCGCTCTGCACGCAGGGCCCCCCGAGACACATGAACAGGCAGAGGTGGGGACACCCCTCACCACCCCTGCGCCCCACTTCTGGGGACGACGGCTCCCAGCGCCCAGCTTTCTTTACAGGGGACCACCCTCCCGCAGTCCGCACTCGGGGGCTTTGCTGCCGCCCCCGCAACCCTCAGAACTCGTGGCCCCTTGAATCCCGACGTCCCTGTGTCTGTCTGTGTCACCTGCTGCTGTTCCTCACCTGGGAAGGACAGACAGCTCACTGCTGGAACGACGGGGCTGAGTCACAGAAAAATTAACCTGGGTGTCTCTGCATTTCCGTGCTGGAAGCCCCGGGGGTGGCGTGGCTCCGTCCAGATGGAGCCACAGTGGGCTGAGGACTCCGCCCCCCTTGGGGACCCCCAGATTCTGCCTTTTAGATGTTAGCAGAGTCTGTCCCCTTGAGCCGATGACAGGTCCTGCCGGCCTCCCTCTCTCTCTCTCTCTCTCTCTCCTCTGTCTCTCTCCTCTGTCTCTCTGTCTCTCTGTCTCTCTGTCTCTCTCTCTCTCTCTCTCTCTCTCTCTCTCCTCTGTCTCTCTCTCTCTCACACACACAAAGGGCTGTGATTTTTGCCTGTTCCTCTGGGCCCCAAGCCCATGGCCACCTCGAACAAAAACTCTGCCCCTGGACCCGAGGGCAGTTTCCACCGAGAGAGGTTGCCCACGTGTGGGCGCTGGCCACAGGGAGCACGGGACGGTGGGCCCCCTGCTTTCTGTCTCACCGTGATCAGCTCCCCCCAAATCTGACTCCCCCACATTCCCTCCCAGTGTCCTCCCGCCCGGCCCAATGTTGAGGCGAATCCGAAGCTCCTATTTCACGGGCCCACCGTGGGTGCCGAAGGCTTCAAAAAGCCACCCCACTGCCTGCATCACACGGAAAATATTCACACCCAATTGAAGGGGGTTCTGTTGATTTACTTTTAATTCTGGCATGAGGGTCTGCTCTTCCAGTGGGCCCCCACATCCGTGCCCCCCAGGCTGCAGTGGCCTGTCCCCTCCTGTGCCCAGCTGCTAACGACGGAGCAGATTCTGACGCCGGAGGGTTTCTGTCATCTGGATGTCTGGGGCCCCCCATGCCTGGGTTTTCTCACCTGCCACCTGTTCTGCTCGCGTCCAGAGTCAAGGCCTCACTGGGACGGGGAAGTCGGAACCCGTGCCCCCCCCGGCCCTGGGGGGTCAATCACAGCCACACTCATGTCCTAGACCAGCCCGTCACGACGTGGATGTTTGAAAGGAACCCCAAGGAACTGGTTTGTGGCAGATGAGGGTCCGCAGGGGGCAGGTGCGTGTCGTGCAGGTGTGGGGCCAGGAACACCCGGCCACACCTGCTGAGCGAGTTATATAAAGCGACGCAGACGCTGAAACCTGCCTGCCCCCCCCTCCCCGTCCCCGGCGCCCCGGCCAGGTTGACGACACACCCTCCGTTTCTCTGTCCGGCTTTCCCTGAGGGGGGCCCCCAGAGCAGGGCTGCCTTTTCTCCGCCAGGCCCAGCGCCCCTCCATCCTTGCCCCACCCGTGGCGAGACGTCCACTCACTGGCCGGTCCAGTCCGTGGGTCCCCGCTCGGCCTGCTCCCGGGGCTCTGCGGAGGGGCTGCTGTCCCCGGCTGGCGCTGGCCGCGTCTGAGCCACGGCCGCCTGCACCCACGTTCCCCACGGGCCCGCGGGGTTGCGGCAGCGAGAAGAAGCCGAAGGGGCTGCCTCTGGTTGTCTTATTTGGGGGGGAAAAAAAACAGTAGTTCCCTCCCGCTCAGCCCTTAGGCAGAGGCACACAATCTGCTGTCCACCTTGCCTCGCACCCCGGCTGGCGGCCTGAGCGGCCTTATCGGTCTCGGCGGACAGGAAGTCCCCTGACCCCGCCCGCCGGCGGTCTGTCTCAAGGCCCTCCTCTCCTCTATCTTCACCTCGGGTTCCCCTTTCTGCAGTGCTGTCTGTCTTGTCCTTCTGTGCCCGGGGGGGGGGGGGGGGGGGGGCGACGCCTCCGTATCTGGTTTGGCGAGACGTGGGGCGTGCTTCTGGCCCCGGCCCGTGTCCACCCGCCCCCCCCCCCACTTCCATGCTGGGAGGCAGCCTCTGCGTGTCCCTTCCTCGTGACGACCTCACCAAGCCAGCTGCTGGTGGATGGGGTCCTCCTAGGAGAGGGACGCTGCCTCTCGTTTCCTGCGTGGCCGCCGTGCGTTCAGGGCCAGCCAGGATGGAGAATCCCAGCAGGTGCGCTGGGAGGACACTGCACACCTGGATCGCAGGTGGGCGTGCGGATCGCCCCCACCCCCTCCCCCAGTGTCCTGCAGAAATGATGCACTGTGGACCTGTCCCCCTGAGGCCTGCTGAGTCTCCCTCTGTGTGGTCCTCAAAGACCAGGCCGTCGATGACCGGGGCTGAGAGGCACCTGCCGGTGCCCCAGCCAAAGGCTCTCAGCTCGGCTGTCCACGGGCCCCCATGGACACGGTACATGCTGGACACAGAGCAGGTCTCTGTCTTACTTCTCCCCCCGTCCTGTTGCTGCTGCTGGGTTCCTGCGGTTTATCTTTATGCCCTGCGGTTATTTTCTTTATAATCCTGCGGTTATTTTCTTTATGCCCAAACATAGCGTAAAGGGGAGGCTTTTAGGGACCATGTGTGCCAGGAGGGGGAGGTCCTCTGCTTTGACCTGGAAAAGGGTGTATGTCTTGAGCCCAGTGCAGTGACATTGTGGGGGTTCGGGCGCGAGACCCCCAATGTGACAGGCGGACGGGATGATGGGGCTGGAGGGTCATAGTCACAGTGTTCCTTTGTAGCTGCCATCAATATGGACAGCAGGTCAATGTTGCATCGGACCAGGGCAAGACGGGGGGTGGCCGGGGACGAAAGAGGGAAAGAGTGACCAAGATCTCACCACGGGCGACAGCGTGGAGGGACCCAGAGGGAGCATGACGGTCCCTGAAGGAAGCCGGGCAGAGGAAGACAGAAGCCATATGACCTCACTTATCATGTGCAATCTGAACAACGAAAGTATCGCAACGGAAAGAGACTCACACACCTGGAGAGCAGGCTCATGGCTGCCGGAGAGGAGGGGGGGTGGGGAGCTGTGTGGAAAAGGGGAAGGCACTGGAAAGCACACAGCGTCGTCACAGAATGGCCACGGGGACGTCCCGTCCAGCACAGGAGACAAAATCGGTGAGACCGCGAATACTCAGTGTGGGGCCAGGTGGGAAATAGCGGGAGGATCGCTTTACAAAGCACACAGTTGTCTCACCACTGTGCCGAGGCCCTGAAACTCACACAGCATAATGCTGAGTGAAAACGCTCGTGGAAAAATGTACACTGCACATTAAAAAGGCAAAAAAAAATTATTTCTCCCAGAAAAGTGAGTTTTGTCTCCCAGATGCTAGTTGCATTCATTTCAACACCACCAACCTGAGTAATTGCTCATATTCCCACAGTAAACACAGATATGCGTGGGTTTCTAGCAACAGATGCAAAAAGCATTTGCCCCAAATCAACGTGATTTGTGATAAAAAGAAAAGCTCTCAGTAACTAGGAATAGGAGTGGAATTCCTCACCTTACAAAAGTCACCACCACGTGTCTCCAGTGAGTCTGAGCCGTTTGCGCCACATAGCAACATGGGAACGAATCTCAAAGACGTACCACGCGCACCGAGCCACTGAATAGGCCCCCTGCCGTGGGGTGTCCCCCGCGAGACGCCGACACCGCGCCTGTCCTCTGTGAGGACAGCAGCCGGCCGCTGGGGCTTGGCTCACAGAGCGGAGGGCACCCACAGGGAAGCCCCGTGTGATGGTCATGAGGGTCTCACACAGGTCACAGGCGTGCAAAAGCTCCCGGGACCATGTGATCAGAATGGGCGTGTTTCATGGTGTGCAAAAGCACCTATCCACCTAGGACACCTTTCCAGGGCTCTGGAGGGACACCTCGCCACCCTGCAGACTGGACCCACTTCCCACAGAAGGCAGCATCCCTGGCTATGAGGGGTCCCCCCCCCCGTGTCAGGAGGCTCCCTATGTGGGTGTCACAGGGAGGAAGGGGTCCTGAGACCCTCTGGCCAAACAGATCAGCTGGCCCCACTTGCATCAGAGTGGAAATTTTGAGGGCGAGAGGGAGAGAAAGACAAAAGGGGAACCACAGGGAGGGGAAAGAGAGGAAGAAAGAAAAAGAGGAAGGTGGGACAGATGATGGGTAAGATAGATGACTAGACAGATGGTGGATGATGGATGGATGGGTGGGTGACTAGATACAGACATCGCGGATGGATGGGTGATGGATGAAGAGATACATGGGGAACCAATAGATGAATGGACGGATGAGGGGTAAAGTACAGATGGATGGCTGCACAGACGACGAGCGAACAGCTGATAAATGGATAAGACAGATGGTGGACGGACGGATGACAGATGAAGAGATGCACGGAGGGATCAGTACCCGTCGAGAGGCAGCGAGAACCGTGGGGCACGCCCGTCGCAGGCGGGACGGTGCTCCCTCTCCCGCTGGCCTCAGGGCACCCCACAGCCCTCCCACGAGGGAGGCGGGAAGCTCTGTCCACGGTGAGACAGCAGGTCTGTGCTGCGGAGTTGCTAAGTTTGTGGCGTCTGCCCAGGGGCCAGGGAAGGGTCACCACCTCGGTAAACCACAGCTGGAGACAGGAGGAGGAGGAGCGCGAACACGTCCCCGCCAGCAGGGCGGCGCCTGCGAGCCGGGACCCCAAACCTGATCTACTAGAAATTAAGATCTAGCTTTTCTGGGACGGGGGGGGGGGGCGGTGGGGGCAGGGAGGCTAGAAGACCTCATTGGAAGACCATTGCACAATCCCACCAGTGACAAGCATCTTCAGAAAAAAAAAAAGCCACTTTAAAAAAAAATGTATTGCGCCATTATAGTTGTCTTCCTTTGACCTGATCGCTCTCTCCAGCACCGCCCCACCCCCACCCAGGGTCAATGCCGCCTGTTGCCCCCCAGTCCTTCGTACACCCTCCTTCCTTTTTCCTCTTCCCTTTCTTTCCCCTCCCCCTTTTCCCCCTCCCCCCTGGTCACTGTCAGTCTGCTCCTCCTTCCCACGTCGCTGGTTCCGTCCTGTTCATTAGTTTGTTGTGTTGATTAGGTTCCACTCCTAGGTGAGACGGTATAGTGTGTCTTTTCTCCATCTGGCTTCTTGCACTCAGCACAAGAGGGTCCCGTAGGAGGTGTGAGGCTACGGTGTTTCGCACGCATTCAACAGCCACAGGAAACTCCCAAATTGCAGAAGAGCGAGAGGACGTGCAGCTCAACAGTGATGCAACGCGCAGCCACAAGACACAGAACCAGCACCGAGGACCGCTGCAGAAATCTGCTTATCAGAGCCCCGGGGAGCTCGCTTTTATAGACACAAGTCCCCACCCCCGGTCCCCAATTGGTCCGTTTTCATGCAAATGAGGACTCCTTGAAGTGTGATGGGTCCAATAGGCCCTGTTTTGGTTGGTCATACATGAGCCGCTCTGATTGGTCGGTGAAGATGACGATGGGAGCTATGGCTGTGCAGCCTCTGATTGGATGAGGAAACTCTCAGTCCTATTGGTTGAAACAGGATCCCAGGCACTGCTTTATTAGGGCGGCTCAGTGGGCAGGACCCAGGGGCGTGCAGGCAGCTCGGTCAGCCCCTGGAAGTGTTTCTAGGTAGGTTTTTTCTTCTTTTTTTCTCAAGATTTATAAGTAAAAAAAAAAAGTTTCAGAGCGACTCGCGGCTGCCGTGTGCGAGGCTCACACGCTGACCGCGGACTCGCCGAGCTCCTGCACGGTCAGGACGTCCTCGCCTTCCGCTTTCCTCGAGGCCGCGGGGAGCTTCTCCCATATGATCTGTGCACGGCGGGAAAGGCAAGGAGGGTGTCAGTCGTCCCGGGGGCCCGGCGAGCGGCGGTGGCGCTGCACACCGAAACCCCGGGCTGATTGGCTGGTGGCTGCCGCGTGACTAGGCCGCCTGGGCGGAGCGCTGGTGCGCGGCAGACGCGAGGGTGCATAGGGCACGTGCAAAGGTCCTGGGGCAGGGCGGAGCTCGGGCGGGAGCACAAGGGAGGTGGCTCGGCCTGCAGGCTCGAGGGGAGCAGGGCCGTGCGGGTCCCGGGAAACCAGGGGCTGGGATGGGGGATTGAGCCCCGTCCAGCCCGAGGGTGGGGTGAGCAGGTGGCTCGGGCCGCTGTGGGAAGTCCACTGTGGGGCGGCCACGGGACACCACTGAGTCACCGGCAAGAGCAAGAGGAGGTCCCCGCCCCAGGGACAAGGATGCACGAGGTGTCCAGAGTGACAGCTGTTTGTCCTGCTTCACTCCCCTGGACACACCCTACAGGAGACCAGGGCAGACACCCATCTGTCTGTCTGTCCATGTCCCCAGAGTGACCATATTTTGGCGTGCATGAAGTGCACCCACATTTCTGAGTGCATTACACACGAGATTATTTATACCCGTGGTAAGTAATCATTATACCCATGTATACTGCGTACCGTTATTTTTCCCCAAAAAATTTGGGCCGAAAAGGGAGCATTCCACACAGCAAAGGACAGTAGCTCTCCGAGAAGACGTAACCCCTGACCCCAGGCCCAGGCCACCGAGCCGGACACAGGGTTCCAGCCACATGGCGTTCGGCGGACACAGCAGAGGGAGGTGATGGGACATGCCTAGGCTCACCCCACCCCCCGTACCAACCTCATCATCTTCCTTGTTCACTTTGTCCTTGATCTGTGGAATCGGCACCCCAACGAACCTGCCGTGACAAAAAAAAAAAAAAAGTGTGGCCCTGGCTGGCGTAGCTCAGTGGATGGAGCGCGGGCTGCGAACCGAAGCATCGCAGGTTCGATTCCCAGTCAGGGCACATGCCTGGGTGGCAGGCCACGGCCCCCAGCAACCGCACATGGATGTTTCTCTCTCTCTCTCTTTCTCCCTCCCTTCCCTCTCTAAAAACAAATAAATAAAATCTTTTTTAAAAGTGTGACGAGGGGATGGAGATGACAAGAGTCCTCCGGCGCCCAGGGCGGGCCTAACCCTCAGACGCTGGGGGCTGGGGGTGGGGCGCTGGTGGGCCAGAGGCTGGGATCCCCGGAGGGCTGCTGGCGAGGGGGCTGGCTGTGCTGGACCCCGAGGGCTCAGTTAAGAGTTGTGGGGGGGGGGGTGCGTGAACCCAGACGGGGGTGCTGAGCAGCCTGAAGCAGGATGACGGTGTCACCGGCACCGCCTTGCTCTGCGAAGGACCAGGTTTTGGCACAAGGGCCGGGCCCAGAGAGTGGCTGGCGTCTGGGATGTGTGTCCGGCGTGCCCACCAGGGATCAGAACACGGCCCCCCTTGGGTCACCTGGCCGTGGAGACCCGGTCGGATCAACGGGACACGAGGGGACTTGCTGACTTCCGCCTGGGCTCCCCGAAAGGCTGTTTCTCTCCGGCCGCCCCCGGCGACGCGGCCGCTGACCCACAGACGCAGGACAGCCCCAGACTCTCCCTGCAAGGGGGCCTTTCTCTTCGCGACGGGATCGGGCCGGTTTTGGGACCAGCATCCAGATGGTGCCCATCCATCAGCGAGGGTGGCGGCCAGCTGCGACCGGGGTTGGTTACCTTTTAAAGAGGTAGCCAAGCGTCAGGGCGCCGATGACGGTCCCCAGGATCACCAGCAGGTACACGTGGACCAGGGTGCGTGCCTGTTCTCCGGAGCCTGCGGACAGAGAAGGACACACTCAGGGACCCTCTGGGGTGGGTGACTCGGCCATGCTCGGCCACCTCCTTCCCTGGTTTGTTGACATAGAAGGAAATGTGTCCAGAGGGGACAGTCATCTCCAAAGAAGCGTGCACTCCTGACACCGTCGCAAGGAGATGCTCAGGAGACAGCACGGCCCCGTGAGAGTGAGGACCCCAAAACCATAAAATTCTGCCGAGAAGGCTGCCACCAAAACACCAAGAAAGCGGCTTAGAAAAAGGGCCCAGAAATACGGACAGGGATCCCCAGGCGCAGAGCTGAAAGGCAGCTCAGGGCTGTACATTTTGCTTCTCATCTAGAATCGGCACTTTCTACAGTGGATGCGTTCTTTCAATCACGAAGCACATTGTATCTGCTCGTGTTTATGTATTTCTTATTTTTCTTTTAATCCTCACCTATCAATGTGTGTATTGACGAGAGACACAGAGAGAGAGAAAGAGAGAGAGAAACACCAATCACTCACTTCCCACATGTGCCCTGACCGAGAATCGAACCTGCAACCTTGTGGTGCACAGGACAATGCTCTCTCCACCTGAGTCCCCCCCCCTCCGCCTGGGCTAATCGGTTCATATTTAAAGAGCCAGTAAAAGCAGTCACCAACACGAGAATTCTCAAAAGCGAGTGGACTGTTTCGTGGTATGGGAGTATGAACATAAAAGGCGCCTTATTTACAAACATTATATATTATTTGTAAAAACGGCTTATTCGAGATGATACGCTGAATGCGTGTGAACCAGTTCCCAGCTGCATGCTTAGAAATATCTATTCTTTTTTTTTCCGCCCATTTTTGACCCATTTTTATATTGGGCTGTTTGTGCTTTTGTTGACTACGTCTTAGATGACTTCCTGCATTCTGGGGACGTACTCCTTAAGGGATCCATGACTCTCAAATGTTTTCTCCTGCTTCGTGGGTCATCTTTTCACTGCTTTGGAGAGTATCCTCGGATGTACACGTTTTTGATTTTTTCTTTTTTTTAAGATTATTTATTTATTTATTTTTAGAGAGGGAAGGGAGGGAGAAAGAGAGAGAGAGAGAGAAACATCCATGTGCAGTTGCTGGGGGCCATGGCGTGCAACCCAGGCTTGTGCCCTGACTGGGAATCGAACCTGCGACGCTTTGGTTCGCAGAGTGCACTCAAGGTCACTCCACTGAGCTATGCCAGCCAGGGCAAGTTTTTAATTTTTATACACGCCAGCTGACCTAGCTTTTTTCTTTGCTGTTCTTGCTTTTGGGAGTCACACCCCAAAAGCCGTTGTTACATCCGAGGCTGCACAGTGAGTCCACACCTGCTGTAAGCTGCCCCTGCCACGTGCCGGCATGTTGCCGACCCACGTTTTATACAAATGCTACCCTGGAAGCTGGAAAAGGCACGCATCTTGCGTCAGGAAAAGAAAAAGAATAACCTCTGTGAGTAACAATGCCTGCAAGAACGCGACAATGTATCAAACTTTCCAGGCAGCGCGAGACTGCAGACTTCCTAAGGACCAGCTTGGGGGTTAGGACAAAAATCCCTCAATTCTGGAGGAGTCGTAGAAGTTGGCGGCAGGAAGCCAGGGGCCTGGGTGGTTCCACCGAGTTCCAAGAACGTCTCCGTGGGAGGAAACACGCCCCATTTCCACGTGCGCTGACCCCCCCCCCCCGCCCGGAGACCGAGGCTGGGGCCGGCTGGACGTGACCAGGACGGATTATTTCCTGGCAGCGCGTGGGGGCTGGAAGGAGCCTGTTTGTTCAAAGGGCACAAGTGCTGGCCACAGGGACATTCCTCAGGCTCCAGGACTGGCGCTGAGGTCTAGTCAGGGCGTGCCGGTCCCCCCCAGCGGGCCTGGGGGGGAGGGGGGAGTGGTTACCTACCGAACTCCGCTGGGGGGCTCCAAGCGCCCCACTGAAGCACCCTGGCGTCCGCCGCTCTGATCTGGACCGTGTGCCTGGCTCTGGGCTGGGGGCTGTGGAAGTCGTATTTGTTTCCCTCATCTCCAGAGAGCTCCACCTTCGGAGAGACGAGAGAGTCTGAGAAAGCGTTCCAGAGGACGCACGGGGGCAAGGGCGGGGGGAGAGAGAGACGGAACAGCAGAGGTGGAGAGAGGGAGAGGGTGCGGGTGTTTTTCCAAACTGCAAACGCGCGGAATGGGCGATAACGTGAAAGCCACACTCTCTTTCTGCGTGAGACTCCTACAGTCAAAGTGAAAATGTCGCCAGCAAAGCAGGAAAATGTCCCGGCACGGGGTGGGACGGCGGCACCGTCTAAAATCGCGCGCTTTACAAAGTTTGGGCACCGCTTCCCCTGCTGCAAACTCTGGGGGCTGGGGGGGCGCGCTCAGCTGAGTCACTAGGCGGAGGGATTCGTCCGCGCGCGCGCCCAGTCACCACCACCGCCGCCGGGTTTGCGGAATTGCCCGACTACAGGCAGGCAGGTTCCCGCAGCAAACATGATCGGAGTAAACCCCAGATCGGCCCCGTCCCTGTGGGCAACCTCGTCAGCAGGGAGGTCAGCTCGCGCGTGGGCTAGGGCACAGACGATGCCCCGGTCGGAGCAGCAGCGGACTTAGGCAGTGCTCCCCAGGCATGCTATGACACTGGATGCCCACGCGCGTTGTGAGGGAGGAACCCATCTCTTCACCATTCGAAGGAATTGTCTCCTTGACCCGCGCAGATGGAGGAGGAAGAGGACATGAACGGATGGATGTGCGATCCATTCCAAGACTTGGGACGTGATGCATGCGCGAAGGTGGGGCCCCACCGAGAGGGGGCGTGCCCAGAAGGGCCCCCGTGTCCCGTGACTCCATGCCGCCCCCCGGGAACCACGGTTGACAGCCCCGCCCCACGCTGGCCGCCAGGGGGCCGGGTCTGCCTTTCCTGTGCGTGGGTCTGGCCAGGTCACTGATGGAGCGGCGAAGCGCGAGGGTTTCTGTCACACCGGTGACTCACCATTTCGTTGCCATCTCGCCGCTCCTTGTTCTGGAAAGACAGAAAGACAAAGGGTTTCCTTTTCTCCATTGCAAAGGCCGGGCAGACAGGCAGACACCGGCCAAGGCCCAGGGCGGGGCGGCACGGAGGCGCGTGGCTGCCCGGAAGGGAGCGCGTGCAGACGCGCGCGGCTGGCCCGCGGGACGTGCGCAGGCCTTGCTGTAGACCCGAAGGGGCGGGGGGGCCTCCTTAAAATCCAGGGAAACAGGGAGCAGGGGGTCCCCCCTGCGTGCAGATGGGGGACACGCATCCACCGCTGCCCTCGTCTCTGCGTCCACCTCTGAACCCACTTGCGTGGACGCCTCCGTCTGTGGTGGTCTTTGTGGCGCTGTTGCTATGGTGACGCTCCTCCAAGAACTCCGGTGGGTCCCCTGCGCGCATCTCCCATGCGTCACCCGCCCCAGTCCTCCCACGGGGTCCTGGGCGCACCGTCCAGCTCTGTGCACGGCGCCGCTGCGCTCGCTCACCTGCCTCTGGATGTGCAGCTGGTACTGGAACTCACGGTCGGAGGTGCTCAGGTGGCTCCGCGGCCTCTCCCAGCGGATGAGGCAGTGGGACGCGTTGCAGCCCACGGTGATGTTGCTGGGCGGGCTGTGCACTTCTGGCGGGAGAACGCAGGGGGGCGCCGCTGAGCCAGAGTCGTCCTTCGGGCCCCCGAGAGTGGGAGACCATGGCAGTGAGACCCTTCCTGCCAGACTGTCTCGGAGGGTCACCTCCTATAGGTCAGCGTGGGGGCGTGGGCGTGTCTCAGTGTTGGCACGTGGGGGAGGTGATTGGCTGGTTGCCGTGCGCTACGGCCAGGAAGTTGGCTTCTGGGGGCCCAGGGAGGGACCCAGCGGCGCATGGGGTGCTCAGGACAGAGGCTCACGGGGTGGCTGCAAACTTCAGACGCGCGAGGCAAAGCGTGGGGTCAGGGAGTCTGTGGGTAGACGCAAGGGACGCTTCACACGACAAGAGCACGCAAGGCCTGTGGGAGGGTCCTCAAGAGACCCCCCTGGGGCACGGTGCTGGGGGAAGAAGGAGCTGGAAAACTGGACTCACCAACCCAGAACTCCCCCCATTCCCTGTGGCCTGCGACGGGGTTCCTTGTAAGGAGAGGGAGGCGGCTCCTCCGTAGGCTCCCATGCCCGTGGGCGGTTGTGGGGTGACCCAAAGCCAGGGGCAGGGGAGACCCAGGGTGCACATGGGGGTGCGGTTTCCCGGGGTAGGGCCACACACACCCGTCGGAACAGACCCCGCAGCGCACGTGAGTGGTACATGGGCATTCGGTGCCCGGGGACCTGATACAGCAGCTCCGGCAGCCCTGCATCTGAGTCCTTCTTCACACAGAGCTTTTATGGTTTAATGTATACATATTGACTTTTCATTTCAGAGATGGAGGAAGGGACAGAGAGAGGGACAGAGGCAGAGGGAACATCGACCTCAGAGAGAAACATCCATCCGGTGCCTCCCACACACACCCCGACCAGGGACTGAGCATGCATTCTAGCCAGGCACCCTGACTGGGAATCGAACCTGCAACCTTTTGGTGCACCAGACGACGCTCCTACCCACTGCACCACCCGGCCACGACCAGCCGGGTGTTTCTGTCACTTACACCGTGGTGTCCTCGATAAGTGTGGCAGCAGAACAGAAAGAGACTCACACAGAGATCAGGCCGCTGGTTGCCAGGTGGGGTGGGGACCCGGGGGTGGGTCTGGGGGCTGGGTGAGCACGGGGGAGGGGTTGGGTGAGTGCCTATGGCTAGTTGTCTGGATTCCATTTTAACCGGCGATCGGCCAGCTCCCCACGCAGCCACCTGGTGGGTCGCCGGAACCGTTTAAGGCCGTGTTTGTACCACGTGGCCAAGCGCAGCAGCCCCCGCCTAGGGCGGAAAACCCCGTGGATTGCGCCACGGCCTCGGGGAGCCCTGGTCACGTGTGAGTCGGCAGACGCTGTCCCTCAAACCCTGGATTTCTCAGCTCCGAACAAACAAGGCTTCCCCCTCCCTGAATCCCCATGAGCTCACCGACCCCGGCGCTCCGTGAACCCCGCCCTTCTGGGTTTCCATGAAGGTTCCATTGCATTAGTGAGTCTAACGAAATGGGTGACAGAGTTCTGCAGCCCCTCCCACCCCACCTGGAGGTCAAGGTGGAAAGTTCCAGCTCTGCAATCGCATGATCTCCCCCCCCCCGCCTTGACCTGCCCCAGCCCTTGGGGCCTCTGTAAAACTCCCCCCATCAACCGGACTAAACACACCTCTACCCCTCTCATGATCGGAAAGTCCAAGAGTTTCTGGAACCCGGGGCCAACTATAGATTCCTTATTCTACATCGCAAGATGACAGCATTCGATTTCCAATTAATATCTGGGTGTCTTGGCTTGCATAAAACATCAGAAACGGGGGAAAACAAGGCAAGGATTCTTGGCCACCAGATTAGGGTGCAGGGAGACAGGTCTCCGCAGTGAGGACCCCCCTTCTGCTGACCTTACACGGAATAGGGAGAGGCAGGCTTGGCCAGCGCACCTGCCCGGTGGCCAGGTGTGTACGGTAGGCAGCTCCGACACAGGTGAGGCTGTAGGTGGCGAACCCCAGGGCGTGAACAGGAGCAGTGGCCCTGAGTGGATTTCCCTCTGTTAAACCTGCCCCTCCGCCTTCCCTGTGACACTGTCTAATGCGCCTGCCACTCCGGCAGTGAGTGACAAGGACCAGGGACTGGAGAACTCTGAAGGGACGTCTAGAGGGGAGACAGGAGGCCCCCTGGGGACTAGGGGCAGGGCCTGGTGTAGAGTCTGCCCGCTTTTCCTGGGACGCTGTGTTTCTCGTTCAGGGAGACATTTCACTGCACCCCCCCCCCCCCAAATTAGGTCAGAGAGGATGTGACCCCTGGCAGGCAGGGAACACCCATGCAGGGGCCTGCATACCCCACCTCCTGTGCACTCTCTTGTCCTGGGGGTGCAGTGGGGGGGGGGCTTTGCCGTTGACCGCAGGCAGAACCCCTGAGTGTCCAGGGTGCACCTAGGGGCCCAGGGGCCGTAGAAGGGCCTTCACTTCCTCCGTGGGCCACCAGCACCAGCATCTGTCCTGTGTTCGCTTCAGAATACAAGCAGATGGGACGACCCCACCCTTTGCAACGTGTCCCGAGTCTGTGGCCCATTGTTCCATACAATCCAAGGGACCAAAACCGAGAGGAAGCCTGAACTTGACAAGTCCTAAGAGGAGCAAGTCCTATTATTACACATAAACCTATTCGGAAACGGGGTCTTTCCAGATGAGGCTGAACAAAAGATATGAGAGGAGGGCGTCCTGGGTCAGGGTGGCCCTGCATCCACTGACAGTGTCCTGAGAAGGGACAGAAGAGGAGACGCAGACCCGGAGGAGAAGCCACGTGGAGATATGGAGGCAGAGACGGGAGGGACATGGTCACCAGCCCAGGGACGCCTGGAACCCCAGGAGCTGGAATAGGTGGGAAGGACCCTCCCTGGAGCCTATGGAGGGAGCACGACCTTGGGACCCCTGGGTGACCTCCAAGGTGGGACGAGAAAAATTGTGAATGTTTTGAGCCCCCAGCCTGTGGCCAATTTTCGCCTACATCGACCTCAAGAAACAGAGGCAGATTTCACTGCCAACGGCTCTGACACGTGGGCCTCGGCCTCACGGTGGACGCTGCCCCTTACCTATTTTCTTCAGCACCAGAAGGGCATCAAAGAACTGGATCCCCGCTTTCTCACTGGAGCCGTTCACCAGGACGTAAATTTCCGGACGTAGCTCAGAGACAAAGTCCAGGTGGCATCCCACGTGGGTCCCTGCCTCTGTGGCGTAGTGACGGCACGGTCTCTCGGTTCTTCTCCTGCAAGACCCCCCAGCGGTGAGATGGCAAACAGGACATTATCGTCTCTCTTTCTCTGCCGAGTCTCTCAGGGGTGTGTCCGCCAAGGGAACGCTTACTTTGGGTCCCAGATATACAGAAAATATTGGACGTCGTCGGGGGCTGCGCGGCCCCTGGCCCACGTGCAGTTCATGAAGTCCGCGTCGTAGATGAAGCAGGAGAAGTTGTGTGCGGCCGTGTTGTTTCCGCCTGCAGAGAGACAGAAGCAAAGGGATTTGCACCCAAAGGGGAAAAAGGGGGGTCGACCAGATGGCCTGTCTACCCAATGACCAAAGATGCAACAATTCCAGCTCTCCTTAAACTCTTCCAAAACATCAAAGAGGGAGACCTGCCGTACTGATTAGGGACAGCATCGGCCTCACGGCAAAGTCAAACAGAGATGCAAGACAAGACACAGGCCTGATAAACCCTGAGGTGGACAGGCTCAGCAAAATATCAGTCTGCTGAAGGCAACCTCCGGCACGGGAGAACATGTTCGTCCATCACTGCCCGAGTCCTGGTGCCGCCAGGGAGAGGACCGCCCTCCACTCCCGGGTGGCCTCACCCCGGGGCAGCTCTCCTGGCCTCTGTCCTAAGGCAGGTGCTGTGGTAGATCAGGTGCACACATTTAGGGCAGAGTGGTTTACGTCCATGCTGGGGTGAGCCCCGGGAATGATGCGTTGGGATCGAGCCCACTCGGCCTGCCTTGGGGTGCTCAGCAAGCTGTCTGGGCATGAGACACTGATCTTTTTGATCAGTAATGTTTATCTCACAGTTATCTTGCTGGACCATGCCCCACAGGTGTGGCAGAGTGTTGTGGGGAGCAGCGGCCTGGCCTCCGTCTGAGTCTGGGTGTATCTGATCAGGGGTTCGTACCCAAGGTACATAAGGAACTTAAACAACTCGAGACAGGAGAAAACAGTTAATAAAACACCCGAATAAGTGGACGGCAAAATGTGCCAAGGGCCTGGCCAGACGTATTTGCAAAGAAGACCGACAGATGGGCGACAGGTAGGGCTGGCCAAAAAGTCTGTTCTGGGTTTTTCCATATGATGGTTCAAGTAGCATTTAGTTGTCTTTAACTTCATTTTAAAGAATCTTGTTAGAATGTCTTGTGACAGCTATCATCTCAGTGTGCATTTTTTTAAAAATCCAAATTGGTGAATTTTTGTGCAGCCATCTCAACACTGAAGATGGAGGAAGATATACCACGTTTTTGGCCTGTGATGCTTTATTCTTTCAAGAAAGGTAACAATGCAACTGAAATGTTCAAGAACACATGTGCCGTGCACGGAGAAGGTGCTGTGACTGACCGAACGTGTCGGAAGTGGTTTGCAAAGTTTCTTGGTGCTATTGAGATTTTTCTCAAATAATTCTGTGCTGTGGGCCTGTCTTGGGCATTGCAAGAGGCCACCCCTGGCCTCTCCCCACTAGAAGCCAATAGCGGGAGATGGTCAACCTACTCAAAACATCCCAATCAATAACGTTATCGGTGAAAATGCAAAGCGAATCTTTGATTCTACGGAAAAAAACTGAAGTTACTTTTTTTTTTGCCAACCCAACACCTGGAGGAGGTGCTCAGCATGACCCACCATCAGGGAGATGCAAATGAAAACCACAGTGAGATGTTCGACCTCACACCTGTGAGAAGGACCTTGGCCTAAGGCCGGGGGTCATGAGTGTCGGCGAGCATGTGGAGGGACGGCGACCCTCTTGCTGTGTGGGTGGAAGTGCGACTCAGTATAGCCACGTGGGGAACAAGGCACTTCCTCAAAATATTAAAAATACAACTCCCATATGATTCAGCAATCTCGGTTCTGAGTATTTCGCTGGACAACGGGATCCAGCCCTTAAAGAGATATTTATTGCAGAGTTCTTCAGAACCGGAGAGAAAGGGAGAGAAACTCATTGTCCATGGATGAATAAATGGGTAAAGAAAATGTGGTAGACGCCTGGCCAGGTGGCTGCTTTGGTTGGGTGTTATCCCGCTTGCCAAAAGGTTGTGGGTTCGATTCCTGGGCAGGATACACAACTAGGTTGCTGGTTTGATCCCCGGTTGGGGTGTATAATGCAGGTGACCAAATGATGTTTCTCTCTCACCCCCTTCTCTCTGTCTAAAATCAATAAACATATGCCTGAGTGAGAATAGAACAATGGGGTAGGTGTGTATAACGGAATATTACTCAGCCACGAAAAGGGAAAGGCAGCTAAAATATCAATCAACCCCAGAAAGAAAAGGGCCACCATGGGAGACGCCGGTGTGACTATGGAAATCACTTCGCCATGCACGCAGCTACCAAAGCACCACACTGTAACCCTGTAAATACGTGCAACGCCTTATGTTCCAGTCAGGTCTCCAGAAAGCTGGAAACAGAGGCGTCCACTTTGGTGCTAGTGTGGCACAGAAGGGTCTCAGGTGACGCCGTGCCTACCTGGGTGCGCGTAGAGCAGCTTTTCTGTCATCTCCCTCTGGCCGACCTTGACCGTCACGGTGAACATGGCGCCCTCGTGCAGAATATGGCCTTGAAACGAGCACTGGCAAGTTGTCTTCTGGGGCTAAAACGATTGCGGCCAGCCAGCGCATGAGGAAGCAGGCTCCTCTCCTCTCCTCACGACCCTGCCCGCTCCGACCTCAGTTCTGTGACATTGTCTTTCTCCCTGCGTGAACCTCCCACCCCCCCCATTATGCCTTCTCTGGGTGGACATCCACAAGCCACCTGGCCGGTGGGGCCTCAACTTCCTGCCTCAGAGCTGTGTTCAGAAGGTCACAACAGCGCCCACGTCAGCAGCCACCTCGTGAACACGCTGATTCTAGTTCAGCAAGTCCCAGGTGTGGCCTGAGATTCTGCGTCTCTAACAGGGTCCCGGGGGGTGCTGAGGGTGCCCCCAGTACGAACAGGGACCTCCCGCATCACCTGAAATGTCAGGCAGCCCCATGCGCCCTCTCTGATGCCTTTGCGTTTTCTTGTCGTATTGCATAGGCCACAGCCTTGCCCGGGCTCCCTGCCTACACCGTATCCAAGAGAGCCTCCTGCTTTCTTTCCGCTCACCGCTCAGGGTCAATGCCGTTTGTGTCTCGGGGCTCACCCTGCGTGACCTTCGGTGGACCCACCCAACGAAAGGCTGGTGTTTCATGAGGGTGGGCGGCCTGTTTCTCTAAAGAGCTGCAAGTCCCCAAAGGGACCGTGGGTCTCCCCGCCCTGACCGCGGTCGGAGATGCCCGCTCCCTGGAACGCACCCCTGGAAATTCTGGGAGCATATTCCAGGCCCCATGTGGGATGTAGTGCTGCTGGCTCCGGACCCCCTGTCTTGCCAGCCAGCCCCACCTCCCCGTCCTTGGGTGGCTAAGGGTCCCCAGGGTGCTGCCCTGCCTGCCAGGTCCGTCCTCTAGGAAGCTCGCAGCTGAGGTTCATTTGCTGCGGGCAGAGCAGCTCCTGCTACCAGGCTCTTAGCATCAGACCTGTTGAAGGAGCCCTGGTGTCTCCCAGAAAGTGCATCTGTCATTCCCGGCCGTGGCTGACCCGGTGTGATTTGGCGCGTAGGACGCCCGGTGCGGCAGGCCCCTGCCCCTCTTACCTTCAGCCTCACCATCCCCTTGGCCTGTGTGGTCATGCCACACGCGGTGGCCGTGACATTCTGCGTGCAGTCCCACGTCAAGGTCCTGCTGCTCAGGTCGAACTGCACGTTGATGCCGGGCGTGGTCTCCTCCGTGGGCCGGCCTGCAAGACCCGTGGGCGCGCCAGACTCTGAAACCACTCTCTCCTCGAGTCTGATGCCCCGCGGCCCTGCCCGTCCCACATCTCACGGGCGGGGAGGGGGGCGTGGAGGCTGGGGCTGGGGCTCGCCGGCCCCCTCTTCCCCCCCGCCCCCGCCGTCAGACCTCGGGGCCACTGACCGTCTGAGCCTCCCTTTCCTCATCAGCCGAGCGCCGTGGGGGGAGGGCAGTCCCACCCCAGGTCGACCATACACGTCAGGCGGAGGGTGAAATCGGGCACCCACACGTTGGGGCGTGTCCCCGGACACCCAGCACCGGAGTGAGGGGGACGGACAGCAGTGGAGCATGCCCACGCACTTACCGTGCTGGGCGAGCAGGAGCACCGGGTCGAAGAGCACGGCGACCAGGACGGCTGTGGCCAGGGGACCCATGGGGCCGCCCGCGGGACCCGGCAACGCTGGACAGAGACAGGGAGTCACACGCGCAGCGAGAGCCCGCCGTCACGGGGATTCTTGGCAGGCGCACCCAGCGGCGTTAGTGCGTTGAACTTGACTTGATCATAGTAGAGCATCCTGAACTTCCTCCTCCCCCCGCCCCCTCGCAAAGTGGTCACCTCCCGTGACACGGTGGCCGCCTGGGTGGACAGGCCAGAAGGCAGGGTGCTTTCTGCCACCGCCCCCACCCCCCAAGAGACCGTGTGTGGCTGTCATTGAGGTTCCTTCGGACGGAAGTCACCTCCTGCCCTGTGTCCTGCCGGGCTATTGTCCCAGCCCCGCATCAGGCCTGGGAGTTCACTTCCGCACCTGGGAGCCCCCCGTTCCACCTGCGACCGCCCCCCCTCCCACCTTCGTCATGCCGGGGTGCCTGCTCACCCTCCCACGGGGGAGCGCCCCATTTCGCAGCAGCTCACGAGGCCTGTGCTGGCCAAGTTTCCCCTCCACGAACTTGGTTAATCACCAGCCTCTCCTTTTGCGACTTCCCTGGCATCGGGTTTCAGACGGGGGGTTTTGTGTTCCTGGCTTCTCCCTGGCGCATGCGTCGGCACCCACCGTGTAAGGCCAGGTAGCCACAGGTGTGGCCGTTAGGACGTGGACACCTTGGGGGTGGGGGGGACATCGCCCAGCCCCACACAGCGGCCAGACCAAGTCCCCAGGACACACGTCCACACACATGCATGCGCCGCCCCCAAGCATGGAGAAGACGGACTGTCCAGGTGTGGCCAGGAGGCTGGCGGTGACTCCACCGCACCTGCCGTACCTGGCTCCAGGACACGCCATTCTCTCTGCGCCCAAGCGCAGGGGCGGAGCCCAGCATCGTCACCCCCTCCTTCTCTGCCCTAAGGTTTCATTTCTCTAAATTCCCCTCCTCCTGCGGAGCCGGAACCCACCCACCTACCTCCCCACAGGGTTCTGCTTTCAAGTTCCCGACGCGGTGCCCTCCCAGACAGTGCAGCCCGCACGGCGAGGGCGGGGCTTAGGGGCCCCGGGACCTTCTCACGCCGGGGTTGGATCTGCCCGGCTGCCTGGGGGCGGGTGCAGGTGGGCCCCGAGGCCAGGTCCCCAGGCCCCGTCGACGGAAGGTGCCTTTGGAAGAAATCCCTGCACTTTGATGAGTGAGGTGTGCTTCCCTGTCTTTATTAATCCTCACCCGAAGATACGTTTATGGATTTCAGAGACAGAGGAAGGGCAGGGAGAGAGAGAGAGGGGGAGACACACAGAGAGAGAGAGAACTGGTGACTTCGTGGAGAAAGCGTCCATGCCCGCCGCTGGGTGAAGAGCCAGTCTGAACAGGCTACAGACTGTGCGGTCCTCACTCCGGGACACTCTGGAAAAGGCCAGGGCCTGGACACGGTGACCGATCGGTGGCAGGATGAATCGGGGAGCGCAGAGGACCGTAGGGCAGCGAAACCCCTCGGTGGGACCGCACCGTGGGGCACGCACGTCCTCCTACATCTGTCCACACCCCGAGCGTGTGTGACAGCGAGCGCGACTCCTGATGTCCGCTGTGGACTGGACTCAATACGGCGTGTCCCTATGGGCTCCCCAACGATGACAGCACTGCCCAGGAGACGTGTGGCGGAAGGGGCAAGGGCACCCAGGGGCTCTCTCCGCCTCCCGCTCCGCCTGTCCGTGACGAAACAGGCCGGGCACATAGCACAGATGCTGTGTGATGTCCCGGACATCCGGGATCTAAGGGACGAAGCCAACTCAACGACGGTGGCCAGGGTGGGGGGAGGGGTGGGAAGGGCGAAAGGACCCACAGGCCATGGACTGTCGTTACACAATAGCCACGGGGATCTTAGTGAAGTCCAGCAAGGGGAACATAATCAGTAATATTGCAATAACCACAAATTTAAAAAAAAAACCAAAAAGCTTTAAACACCAGTCTACTGCAAATGAACGAAAAGCTGGAGTTTGAAAGCAAAGTGCTCTGCTCCGTCCCCGGGGCCTGGCTGGCGTCGGCGGGTCCCTCACCTGCTTCTCGTGCCCCCCGCGGAGATCTCGGTGGGCGGGACCCGTGCCCGCAGCTGCTCCCTCCGTGCCGGCACACCCCGCCCCCCCCCAGGGTTTCCCTCCTGGTCCCCCGCTCAGGGACTCGGGGGCTCAGCCCTCACGGCCCTGTGGCCCCGAGGACGTCAGCCCTGTGCTGCCCTGTCTTTTACTTTGAGGTTCGTCTCTCTTTTTGGGTTCACGGTCCGTGTTTTCTGCGGAGTCTTTTGGTTCTTGGACTCGACCCGCCTAAACGGTGCACTCGTTTTCTTCGTAAGTTAGCTTTCTAGGGTCTGCGGCAACAAATGACCGCTAATTTCCTTCTTCCCTTCCTCCCTCCCTTCCTTCCTTCCTTCCTTCCTTCCTTCCTTCCTCTCTTCCTGCATTCCTCCCTCCTTCCTCCTTTCTTCTCTTTTTCCTTCCTCCCTCCCTCCCTGTCTCCGTTCCTTCCTTCCTTCCTTCCTTCCTTCCTTCCTTCCTTCCTTCCTTCCTTCCTCCCTCCTCTCTTTCTTCTCTCCACCCTTCCACCCTCCCTCCCTGTCTCCCCTCCCTTGCAGGCATTTCTGTGATCAATCCCCCTCCTGTCCAGTCCTGTCCAGCGTGTCCTTCCGGGGCCCCGGCCACCACAGCGGCCCCTGGTCCCCACTTGTCCTTGTCACTCCTTCTTGCGTCCACAGAAGCTCTTCCTCCCTTTCTGCTCAGCCCCACACGCAGCCGAGGCCCCGGCTGAGGACACAGCCCTGCCTCCCCCTGTGCCCGGCGTCTGGCTGCAGCCCCCCCCCCCGCAGGGCTCCCGCAGGGCTCCTCAAGGTCCCCCCGTGGTCCACCTGCAAGACCCACCGCCCGGCTGAAGGCCACTGTGCACGCCGGTCAGCCCCGCTCTGCCCGGGTTCCCCTCCCAGCTGACCGCCCTGGGTGTCTGTGTCACCCGGGGGGACTTCCCCGGGCCCACGGTCCTTCTCCAACAACACAGACACCTGTGCACACCCCGGGTCTCACCCCGTCCCACCCGGGCCACCGTGCCGCAGTCCCAGGCCACCCATTTCCCCGCACCAAAAACCGTCTCTCTGGGACTCCCTGGCTACACCAAGCTTGGACTTTGCACGTTTGGTTAAAGGTTTAAAGGTCCCCTGTCTGCCGCTGACCCCAGCCTGCGTCCCTACCTTCCAGGTCCCCGGAAGCGTCTGCCGGCTCATCGAGACCCTAAAGGCCTTGCTCCCTCTGGCCTTTCCCCCCGCCCCCCACTCGTGGCTGTGGCCCAGAGCAGCCCCGCCCACTGCCCACTTGGGCCAGGGGGCACCTGGGGTCCTCGCTGGCCCAGCCTCTGCCCCACCCCTCCCCACCTGCCCGAGCCCGGGCACAGGGAGCCCCCCTTTCTGCCAAGGGGGAGATGGCAGCCCCAGATTTCACGTCTGTGTCTCCCAGGCAAGTCCCCCGCGTGGTGAGGCGGGGCAGCACCCCCCCCCCCCCCCACCCCCCTCTTCCTCCACCTGGAGGCTGGCCCTGCCCACCCCAGCCGCCCTGCAGGTATGCGAGGGGGGGGGGAGCTCTCTGCCCTGGGTCAGGGGCTGCAGGGGAGGGTCCCTCCTCGGCCTCCTCGTGACCACCACGGCCGTGGCAGCCCCCTCTCTAGCGCCCCCTGGCTGCTGCCCACACCGGTGCACTCACCCCCTGTCGCAAGGCCCCGCCCCTCGCAGCTGAGCGGTGCTCGGCGGGGACAGAAACGGGCGAAGAGGGGACACGGGCGGGGATGCGTCCGGCCTCCGTGGCTGTGGGCGGTGTGTCTGGTCTCGTCTCTCCTTGTCGGAGCCCCCCACTGTCAGCCCTGCGTCAGCGTGGTCGCAGGTGCCCACGGGTGGGTGCGTGCATGCGTGACCACCGGAGGGGAAGAGACGCCACCTCGGAGCCCCCACAGCGATGCCCCCCCGCCCAGGAGGGGAGAAGTCGCTGGACGGACCGACGGACGGAAGCGACGCCCGGATCGTGCCGCCCCGAACCTCAGGTTCCCTATCCGCTGCTTCCGCGCCCAACGCCCAGTCACCACGCACGGTTGGGAAACCCTGTAAAGTTCTCCAAACACCACTTAGAAGAAAAACCTCAAGACACGGAAACCGTCCCGAGAAATCTAGGCCAGGGTTTCGCTTTGACACACGCGGGGAGGGAGGACACGGGCCTGTGGCGGGGGGCCGGGAGAGAGAGAGTGTGGACCATCCTCTCGCTCCAGCGGCATTCGGAGCCCCAGGGGTCTCCCCCCGCCCCGACCCCCAGCGTCCGTCTCACGATTCCCTGGTCTGTCCCTCGTGCCGCTTTGGGGAGGCGCACCCTGCCCTCCCCACCCCACACGTCCCCAAAACCTGGAGTGCAGGGACATCTCACTGATTTCTTGTCACGTTGCTGCATTGTCGTAAAACCACGTGGCAAAATCCACATGGCCCATAGCCCGTTCCCTTCCCACGTGCCCAGCTGAGACACGGGGGATGGCCGCCCAGGGGGGCCGCCGTGGCCTCTGTGTGATTCCAGGGCTGTTTCGTCCCCCAAAAGGAGACCCGCCACCCCCGGCCCCCTCCCCCCAGCCCCTGGCAAGCGCCCGCCTTGGGTCCCCGTGGCCTCGCGCGGGCACATTAGGGCGTTTCGGATGAACGGAAACTCAGACCGTATTTGGGCGTCTGTCAGGGACTCCTGACCCACTTTCCGCCCTCTCGGCCGTCACCCTGCCGTTCCCCTTCTCCTTGACCCAGATTTCAGCTTTCGAGAGATGTCAGCTGGCAGGAGCGGCCTCTGCCCTTCACCTCTGCCCGTGGCGTGTCCCTTGACCCCGAGCCAGAGCGCAGAGGCAAGTGCTGCCATCAGCAGGACGCCCGGAGGAGCTTGGGCTCCTCGTTGCCTACAGCATGGACGATGCCCTGGGGTCACACGCAGCGCAAACCCCCTTGCCCCCCTCCATGGCAGGCCCAGCTCTGCCTGGCCAGCAGCTCAGGTCGGCTGCCGGAACTTGGACATAACGTGGCCGCCAGCCAACGATCTCCTGACACGTGAAGACCCCTGTTTGCCCTGCGGATGACGTAGATGCCGCTACTTCCAAATTTTTCCAAGCCTTTGGGGGGCAGTCCCAGTCCCCCCCCCCCACCCTCCGACCCCCGGGGAAATCGGGAAGCTGCCAGTCCATGCTGCCAAATTCCTGCGGCGAACGGACACCTTAAAACGCAGCATCTGCGTGCGTATCAGGCTCGTTGGCTGTGCTTCTTAGAGAGGTGCCCTTCATCCGACGACCGCCCATGCCGCACCCTGAGCTCCCCACGGACCTGGAGCATGACCCGCCACCAGCAGCCACAAAACCAGAAAAACACACGGCAGTGACAACACACTCAATGCCCACAGAAGGTGGCGCCGGCTTACCCTAGGACGCCGGGCTGTCTTCCATGAAGCTGCCTTATACGTCGTTGTGCTCCGTCTCCCGGCGCACCCACCTCCGAGCCTCTGGTCCGCGCCCCAGAGTCGCCCGCACTGATGGCACCCAGGAAATGTGAGCTCAACACTCAGGACTTTCATGCGTGTTCATTCCATGACCTGCCCCTTCCTCGCTGCTCTTCCTCATTTCTGTTTCGTACGCGGGTGGCTGTGGGCACCGCGGAGGTGTCTGCGAAACGGAGGCTGGCGTTATTAGCTCTCTAGCGACCGCAAAGAGGAAAGGTGGGCGAACGGCATGCGTGCATCGGGCTGCCTGGCCTGGGGAGAGATGCGTCTTCTCAGGGGCCACGGACGGAAGGTCGTCTTCCAAAGAGTGACCGACACCCGCCCCCCGCCTCCGGCTAGCCCTGCCTTGCGTGGGCACTCTGGTTCACTTCTCATTTTTCAGCGGGGCCCATGTCATCATCAAAACCTCGGAGCATCGAGAGACATGGACATTCCCAAGAAGCTCACAGACTCACAAGGGGGCTCAGAGTGGACACCGCATTGGGTCTCCTTGTCTTCAGGAGCGCCTCCCTGCCCGGGAACTCTGGGACTCGGGCCGGTTCCGTTGTCCGGTTCACGTCATTGGGTCGTTCCTCAGCGCCCCCGGTGTGGGCACCTACCGGAGCGGGAAAGAAGGAGCTTGGAAGCTCGCACTCACGGGGAGGCTGAGCAGAAGAAGACCCAGGGGTGGAGGGGACGCAAGCACAGAAGTGGATGTCGCCACACAGGATGTGCTGACTTCCGCCCGGCGTTAAAGGAGAAGTGGGCGGTCACGGGCAGCCCCAGGCTGGGACGAGCGGCTTTTCGTGAGTGGGCAGGTGTGCCCAGAGGCTGAGCTCATGGATCACGCTGCCCGCGGCCGCGGCTTGACATGAGCCAGCTCTGGCCTGGCTCGTCATCGGGTCGGATGACTGCGTCGGCGTGGCTGCCGCAGGCCCTCATCGTGAGCTGTCTCTTCATGCCGAGGGGTGGAAGGACAGCCGGATGGGGGGAGACCGCCGTGAGTGGGCAGGGGCAGGCAGAATGGCCAGGATGAGATTGTGACCAAGAGCTGGGTATTGGGTTGGAGGAGAAGTAGGAGCCAGCACAGAGGGTAGGGAGAGGGACGCAATCTGGTGATGATGGTGGTGGTCATGGTGATGGTGGTGATGGTGGTGGTGGTGATGGTGGTGGTGATGATGATGATGGTGATGGTGGTGATGGTGGTGATGGTGGTGATGATGGTGATGGTGATGATGATGGTAGTGGTGATGGTGATGATGATGGTGGTGATGGTGATGATGATGATGATGGTGGCCATGATGATGATGATGATGATGATGATAGTGATGATGGTAGTGATGATGATAGTGGTGATGATGATGGTAGTGATGATGATGATGATGGTGGTGGTGGTGATGGTGATGATGATGATGATGGTAGTGGTGATGGTGATGATGGTGACAATGGTGATGGTGACCATGATGATGATGATGATGGTGATGATGATGGTGGTGATGATGATGGTGGTGGTGATGATGGTGACAATGATGACGGTGGCCATGATGATGGTGACGATGGTGTCGATGCTGCTGGTAATCCCAGTGATGATGGGCATCGTGAAAACCTGATGGACAATTCGAAGCACAAATAAACTAACTACCAAAGCTCGTCCTTGCTGAATCCCCCCACCCCACCCTGTGGCCCGACTTCCAGAACCACAATGTGGGCCCAAAGTCCGCGTTTGTCAGACTTCCCCCGAGACGCAGAGCCGGTGGAGCGTGGGTGCGAGTAGAGGGAGAAGAAGACACTTTAGGGACTTGGCTCGCAGGGCCCTGGTGGCTGGCCAGTCCAAACAAAACCTGCCGGGGGGGCACTAGCAGGCCGAAGACCCAGGGGACAGCTCGGCTCGCGGCGGAAGCCTGCAGGCTGCCTGGAGGAGGGGCCCTCTCTGAATTCCGTCGGAAGTGTTCCAGGGTGCTGCGTGACGTCTCTCTGTCCACAGCACCCCCGAGGACGATCCGTGCTGCCGTGGCTCCTGGAGACAGCCACGAGTGTCTTCCGATCTGATCAGAGGAGCAAGCCAGAAGTGGCTGAGAAACGTCATCACTGAGACACTGGCCTTGGAGAACCACGCCGGGTTCGCCGGGAGCCCCCAGTCTCCTGCCAGAGGCAGATCATGTGCGCCTGCGTGCAAAGGCAGCTGCTTTGCCTGGCCCGGAGGACACACTTGAAATGCACAGAGAGAAAAATACAGATATTTTACACATAGGCGTCCTGGGTCCGTCCAAAAAAAAGCCCAGCCATTGTTAATATAATGAGAGCCGTTTGCATGACATCCGTGTAACCCGGCAGCCAAGGAGAGCTTGACTGGAATGCGCCTGTGTGAACAATAGTGACTTCACTGTACTGGTCCGTGGGGGTGGTAGACACAGTTGGGTGAGCATGTGTACTGTGTGGTTGTCACATTCAAAACGACTGAGCGAGTAAAGCGATGAATCTGCACCCCATGTTGCATTAACCTTGACCATTCCTTCACAGAAACTACTCAGATGACTCAGAAGGCCGTAGCTGTGGGCAACTGGTGACTGGCAGCTTCATCACGACAGTGAGCCAACTCACGCATCACGTCTCGTGCAGAGTTTTTCGGCGAAACAGCCAATCACCCAGGCGAATCAAACGCCCTCCAGCCCAGATCTGATGCCCTGAGACTTCTGGCTTTTCCCAAAACTAAAATCACCTTTGAAAGGGAAGAGATTTCAGACCATGGATGAGATTCAGGAAAATACGGCGAGGCAGTTGATGGCGGTTGGGAGACCTGTGTGAGGTCCCCGGGTGCCTCCTTGGAAGGGGACGGAGGCGTCCTTGTCCCGTGGACAATGTTTCTTGTATATCTTGTACCTTCTTCAGTGAATGTCTCTGTTTTTTCACAGTACATGGCTGCGTACCTGCTGAACAGACCTCGTATATGCACACAGACACACACACACACACATGCACACACACATGCACACACACAGAATACAAGAGTCTGCACATTCTGAGAGTAAAAACAACCGTCTGAAAAGCTGCGAAAGGTAGCGTGGACCTCCCGTGGACAGACACGTCATCTATTCCCTGACAGATGGTCTGTAGGGGGCGCACCGTCTCCAGGGGCAAACTGGGCAGCCAGGTCAGCATGGTAATCCCTCCCAAGCTGCCCCTGACCTACCCCGCGAGGCTCTGTGCTTAGAGACCTTGTCTGCTACTCGCTGTGTTATCAAAACAAGCAAACAAAGAAGCAAAAACTAGGAACAGTTGGAAGCCCACAGTCCGCGGAACAGGAACAATGTGTTGCCATGCATACTCTGTATACGATGCAACTGTTGCCAGAAATGAGAGCCCTCCCCAGCAGGGTGCAGAACCAGCTCTACAATGTATCTATGAGGCGGGGGGGGGGGCTGGGGGGGAATAAAAGCCAGGAATCGGGCAGAGGGCAGGGTGTGACTGAGGTGCATACAGAGAAATAACCGGCCTGTGGGAGCATGGTTTTAGGGAAACCCATTGAAAAGCGACAATAGAATAAGAAGTGATTGTGTAGCCCTGGCTGGCGTGGCTCAGTGGATGGAGCACGGGCTGCGAACCACAGCGTCGCAGGTTCGATTCCCAGTCAGGGCACATGCTTGGGTTGCAAGCCACGGCCCCCAGCAACTGCACATGGATGTTTCTCTCTCTCTCTTTCTCCCTCCCTTCCCTCTCTAAAAAATAAATAAAACCTTAAAAAAAAACCCAGAAGTGATTGCGTGTCATCATGGAGAGATTAACCTTTCGTCCACTATTCCTGAGAAATTACTTGGGAAGTGTCAGCCATTGGAGATCCCTAACTATGCCTTTGAGTTCTGGCTTCCTTGCAAAGGTGAAGTTCCCCCCCCCATCTCCCTCCACCCCCCACAGCGGCTCTGTGGGGTTTGGTCGGAATGATTCCGTCCAGAAAACATCCCCCACCCCCGTGCCACTGAGGAAAGGTTGGGGACCCACCGGAGTGGCCAGGAACCACCGCCCCTGTGCCCCCAGGAGAGGCAAATGACCCTCAGGCCTTCCCAGTGGCATTTCCCCAAAACGCAGAAACTCTTTTCCAAGAAAGCGAGAAGTCCCTGCTGGCTGGGACCCAGCTGGGAATTCCTGAGTGTCTCCAAGACTTCCCTCTTTCCTTCGCTGTCTGCATGGCCTGGGAGGCGCCTGTCCCCAGGCCCTGCCCTTCCCCTCCCCCGCAGTGGGGACAGCTGCTAGCAGCAGCAGGGTGGCTGGATGAGAGTGAGAGAGAGAGAGAGAGAGAGAGAGAGAGAGAGGGAAGGAGCATGAGCCGTGCCACCGCTGGAAACACGAGACGCCTGTAGATTTGACTTTCCGAGCAACCACGACTCCACTTCTGTCTTTAAAAAACCCGTTTCGCCAGGGGCAGGGGTGTTGGCACTTAACAGGCTTCATCACGGACCGGAAGGGCGGACTGTGCACTGTGCATTCCTGCAGGGACAGGCCCCCCCCCGCCACCCCCCGCTCTGGCTGCATGGGACAACATTGCCTGTGCCCCCCTGCCCCAAGCCCACAGGAGAACAGTTGCACCCAGCCCTTTATCCGGGAGCTGCTCCCTACAATGTGGACCAGGGCACTGGGGTGTCCACAGGGCAGAGACCAGGGGCCCATGAGCTGCAGCTTGCAGGGGCACCCTGCTGGTGACTGAGGGTGGGGCGGGTTTGGGGGGACAGCTCTGACGGGGGAGCGGCGGGCAGAGCAAGGTGAGGAACACAGGTGTCGTCATGGTGGAGTGGGTATGGGGTGGGTGCAGGAGCTGCTGTGGGCCCCCCTTCAACACCCACCTCTCCCCGCCACACTTGAGCGTACCAGGGGTGTGAGGAGGGTCGTGGCTGTGGGAATCCCAGCTCGGAAACCTGAGGACTTCTATTTCTTCTGCCTCTGTGAACCGCAGCGAGGCCGCTGCCTCACGGGCAAGGCACCTGGGAAGGAAGCGGAGTGGGGGTTGGCGACCAGGGAGAAAGGTGAGGAGTGAGGGGTGAGGCTTGTCTTGGCCCCCTGTCTGCTTACGTCTTTTTTTTTTAAGATTTTATTTATTTATTTTTAGAGAGGGAAGGGAGGGAGAGAGAGAGAGAGAGAGAGAGAGGAACATCCATGTGTAGTTACTGGGGGTCATGGCCTGCAACCCAGGCATGTGCCCTGACTGGGAATCGAACCTGCGACGCTTTGGTTTTTTTTAATTTAATTTTAATCCTTGTTCAAGTACAGTTTTCTGTCCTTTACTCCCATCCCAGCCCACCCACCCATGCCTCCCCACCTCCCTCCCATTTCCACCCCCTTTAGTTTTTGTCCACGTGTCCTTTATACCTGTTCCTGTAAACCCTTTCCAGTCTCCCCTGAAATTCCCTCCCCTCTCCCCTCTGGTCACTGTCAGCCCGTCCTCCATTGCAGTGTCTTTGACTATATTTTTCTCGTTGCTTTGTTTTGTTGTTTAGGTTCCTGTTAAAGGTGAGATCCTATGGTATTTGTCTTTCACTGCCTGGCTTATTTCGCTTAGCATAATGCTTTCCAGCTCCATCCATGCTGTTGCAAAGGGTAGGTCTTTTTAAAACAAAATATTTTATTGATTTATTTTTAGAGAGGGAAGGGAGGAAGAGAGAGAGAG